AACTTCAGCATATAAACTAGGAATTCAGGTTGACAATAACTATACCATAAATATGCTCATTATTAAAAATAACTACTCTAGAAAACAGGAGAATTGAAGCCGACTTATGTTTTCTATTCAAGTTGCTAGCTGGTGAAGTCTGCTCTCCTATGTCATATTGAGGTTAAAATTAATAATTCTAGCACTAGGTCAAAGGACACCTTTCATTTTAAGCATCATTACAGAAACTATGGGTTCCACAGTCCTCTAATAAGAATGGTAAGGAATGCAAATGATGTAGATTTGAACTACTTCGGCATACCCTTATCTACTTTCAGACTTGAACTAAAAAAATCGAGAAAAAAATACTTGGCTCGATGATACTATCGGATACTATAGACGTTTGTATGTGATTGATCTCTTATCATAATAAGAGTTTTTATAAGTTGGTGTAGTATTTTTTTTTCTTCCTAATATTTGTAGAACCACTGTTTTAAAGTAGGTGTGTTAATGTCCTTCTAGTGAGTTAGCATTTGGTACGAATATTTTGAAAACTGCAATTATTATTTATTGTTTTAAGATTTTACTTTTATAATTTTGTAATGTATATGTAGAATAAATAAGTAAACAAATAAATAAACGAACATAACTTAAGCTACTTCACATCAATTACAGAAACGATAATATTGAAACGAATATCACAAAATGGCTTATTACTTGAATGACGGCTAACATTTTCACTTTCACCAGTTGGCGTTACGAAAACGTGAGTACAGTGTTAAGTAAAAAATCCTAAAATTTTGCCGGATAGCCCTAAAAGCTAGGGCCTGTTTGATATAATATTTGAATAAATTGAAAGCTTCAACTTATCGAAAGACGTGAGCTGTCTTACGTTTTTAACTCTCAATGTGGAAAATTACCGAAAATTACGACCAATTCTCACATTGACGGAGAAGATGATACCGTACCGTAGCAAGAGGCCAAATGACACGAAAAGAAGTTTATTTTTCAGTTCTACCAACCCTAACCTCGCATTTCCGTGGCGCGGTTAGACAAAATATGAGTTACAATACATTCCCTATTCAGAAAGAAAATTATGAGGTATGAAGGATATAGATATGACTGTTTGGGAAATTGTAGTCGGCCTTCGTGTTTTTAAGGCCGACTAATCTCAAAATAGGTATGAGTCATTTGAGTTACGTCATTTCGTGATTTCTGATACGGACGACTGACGGACGACGATATAAATGATATTCTTTCGTTCTGTTCATTTTTCGTTGAAGAAACACATCACGGTAATTTTTTAATTCAGGGCGTAACTCGATGAACGATATTTCAGAAAGATTCTAATAAGGTTTCTATTCAAACTTCATGGAGGTGACACTATGCATAAAAAATTTCAGGCTTGGGATTGGGAAACTCGTCGTTTTTGAAAGTACCTACCTACTATTCCTACTATCAGCTAGAGTTCCATGTACATACTTGAGACTGCTGTTTTAAACGTTTTTTGTATATTAGAGTACGGACACAACCACTGTAAAATCCGGATGCTTGAAAATTGTTGCATGGAGAAGGGATTCAGTCCGTGCGTCGAGCAGTGTTGCCAGAACTTTTTTTGCAATTGTACCAACCCAAGTGAAGAAAATGTACCACCAATAACCAATAACGCGTTGCCTTATCACTTGAACATGGCCCCAAAAACTCAAGATTTTGTAAATACAAAAAGCTTATAGTCATTTCCACACAATATTCATAAAATAAACAACAATGGTAGATTTCGGGAGAAAAACAACTACTATCCTGGCTAATGCCACGCAGAACATTGAATTACAACCTCCCGAAATCTATGCATCGACTCGTATAAACGAATACTGATACAAGTGATTCTTTCCTGAATGCCTATTGATTTTGATTTAGCGAGGCCACGCTAGACAACCACAGACCGGTTTCGAGCTCTCTGAATATAATGCCGACTTGATTTTTGTTTGGCTAGGCTTCGCTGAGTCGTCTTAGGACTGCTGACTGGAGACTACACTGCAGTGATGAGAGTCGAAGAGCTCGAAACCGGTCTGTGGTTGTCTAGCGTGGCCTAGCTAAATTGAAATCAATAGGCATTCAGGAAATAATCACTTGTATCAGTATTGTGTGGAAATGACTTCGAGCTTTTTGTATTTATTTAACCTTTCATTCCACTTTGAGCATTGTGGCTATTTCGTAGTTCAAAATTTTATATTATTCTCTTATTTCTTTCTCAAGATTATGGCCCATGAGTTCCATCTGTATGCATGGGCATATTGCAAGCAAGTGACAAACTGACAATGATAAGTAAAGAGACTCTAAAGGTGATAAAAATGACAAATTACAAGTAAAAAAAGAAGTAGATGCTATGAACATAAGTGACGCCAATGTTCGACATTCTTCATGAAACAGGCTCGATGTTCGTGATTCCATTTTGTACCACATTTTGGGCAATTTTGGAAATGTAGTACCACGAAAAAGTACCACATGTGGTACAATGTACCACTTCTGGCAACGCTGGCGTCGAGACAAGCAGCTGCCCGCATAGGCCATACACGTTCCTCCACAACGCGCTTCATTTCTTACGTTCTCTCTGCAGACGCTAGTACACTCGACAAGCAATGACAGTGAGACATAACCAAAAACAATTTCGAAGTAAAATCACATGTTTTGTCAGACAAGGACAAGAATATGCTTTTCGCTTCGATAAGGCGTTGATTGATATATTATAAGCGTAATATATCAATCAACGGATAAGGCTTCTCGTATCTTCCTTCCTCTACATGTTCAGTGAACAGTACATCCATGTCTCTTTCATTTTTGAATGAGAGTGCATAGCGTCTCCTCGAGTGGGAAAAAGGGTACAATACTTTAATTGGAAAATAGTTATTCTTGACATATATGGAATGATAGTGCTGAAGAACCTAGATGAAGGTCGATGGCCAGTTGGTATGTACCACAGGTACTTAAGGTTTGTTAATCTGTGGTATGTACATTATAAACCATCGATACATATACTATTAATATGAATTGATAACGGACTGAGAGAATAGGTAGGTCCAATGGTTGATTGAATAATTTTGAATAAAATCGAGATCGACGTTCGTTGTTGGTTCGAATCCGGCCATCGGAAGATCGATCATTTTCAATAATAAGTATAAATAATTGGTGCACGGGTTTAGTGTTCTTGTCCTGTCAGCATATTTTGGCAACCCAGAACTTGGAATTTCAACTTTGAAGAAGTGATACACAAATAATTCTATTCGACAAACATTTGAAATTTATGTCATGTACACTCGTGTACTTACTGTCAGTTCTCACTTTTTCCTTCAATTTAATTGTGGTTATGTCTGACTGTGCTTGTCACAGTGTCCGTACTGAAGATAGGTAACAAAAACGTCAGGTACATTGAGGAATTCTACTATCAACCACGAGAACTAATTTTGGATCACCGTGTATACGGGAATATAGGTTTCCCTTTATTTTCCCATTCATTGAAATAGCAATTCGGCATACACTTCCGATATAATCGGAAATACCAGAATCAATATTAATCAAGCTTAATGGCCTCTATCAACATAACCATACTAATATGTGGTAGAAGTCCATCGTTTCTCAAAGTGGAGTACAGTGGTTAATACTGAATAATACACAAAGTCATCTCCAAGACAGTGTATTGTGAAAACTTGTTCCCTTGATGTGATTATTCACAATGAACCCGTGAGTTTTCACAACAAATTGTCGTGGAGATGACATTGTGTATTATGCAGTAATAACCATACTAGCCCAGGCGCTGCAATGGTGGAACTGGGGGAAGCGCTAGCCCCCATGCACGACTTTTTCTGGTGACTGTACCTAACTAGGTTGTCATCTAGAACGACAATGACGAATCAAATGAAATGAAAATCTCAATTTGGGAAATACCACAAATTGGTGCGACGTCAACGGAAGGATAACAAACAATTCGAACTAGTATCAAAATCAACCAGCTACGCTATGAGAACAAAGAACAAAAAGTTCGTTGCATCTTTTAAATCCATAACATTGTTTTTCTACAAACGTCAAAAACCGACAAGGTTCTCGCATTGATAACAATTTGCAAAACACAACACCATGTGTGTGAAGTAAACCGATGCGCAAATTACATACTTGGCGCATTGTATGCAAACTATCAGATTTTTGTATTTAAACTTTTTATGTTTCTTAACCGAGCAAACATCCAAGAAATCATTTATTTCTGAATGTTTAACAATAATTGAGGCTTTTTAAGCCAATTCAACACTTTTTTTGATATTAAGCTAAGCTTATTACGACTTTAGAACAATTTTTTTGACGTTTGTAGAAAAAATGTTGATTGCAACTCGTGCGCGAAAACCTTTGATCATCTCGGCTGCGCCTCGTTAAAAAATTCAGTTCTCGATCACCAAAGTAGCATTTCGCGCAGTAAATGCAAAAATACCAATTTTCCATTTTTCATCAGAATCGTATTGAACTTTGCAATCTGTAACTGAGTCATAATTTGGATATACATATTTCTTCCAATAATAAGAATTGAAATATTAACCCTCTTATTTACCAGTTATACATCGTTGAATCAACAAAATTCAGAGCTGAATTTGTCGATTGTCACGCTTTTAGGGATCACCCTGTGAAACTTCTGATACATGCCGTGGAAAGACCTCACGGCATTAAACTTCCACGTGTTATTGCTTTCTATTTGTCGATGAAAAATAACATGATAACATTTAACATAACATTAAAAACTACGAAAAAACAAGTAACTTTTTCAAATTTATGCCAGGGATTACGATGTTTTGGTGACCGCGAATATAATTGTTCGGATGGATAACCCTGTACTTGAGTGTAAACTGTAAAGCATGAATTGTTTGAATAACAAGAAGAAGAAGAAGAAGAGAAGAAGAACTGTCGTGTTGCGAGTTCTGTTTTTGTTCATGTTCCGTGAAAGCTGTATTTGACTGACAGTGTCACTATTCTGTGTCTCTGTGAGCATTTCAATTTTTCAATTCTGTGTTGAGTGTGTTTATTTTATATTTTCATTATTTATAATTTTCATTTTATGTCTTGAAACTTGTGAAAGTTGATATTTTTCACTTGAATACGTTGGATTCTTCTAGAATAGTAGATAGATAGATAATATACATATAAGAAGACATATTTATAGTTTGAAAAGTTTCTCCAATTCAATATAAATAATGGGCAGACAAGATGAGAAACCAGTGTGGAAATTTTACATGAGAATCCAAAATGAGCAAAATATCCATTCAAATTGTAGATTTCGTGAGAAGAGGAAAATCTCATCAAAATGTAAATAGAATGGAAAAACAATAATTAATGGTAAAGTATGATAAAACAAACATTAATCTTCAGGTGGATAATTGTAAGGTCACACAGTACAACTTGATGATTTATCAAAGAAAAACTTAGCTATTTTACCAACTTGAGTGAAATTTCAGTCATGAATTCCATGAACAGTTTAACCATGATGTACCTATTACATTTTATGAATGAAGGGATAATTGAAAGAGATGTTGCATGAATTCAATCAACAATTAAATTGGAAATAAAATATTTTTAAAGACCAAGAGCTCCCTTTTCAATTTGCAAAATGATGCCTATAATGGTACCTACTTTGCTATTTGGTTTTCAGTGGTAAAAAATAGGTACAAGTTGAAAAAACCTATCCACCTGTACTATATTTTTATCATGTTCTATTGGCACAATTCAATAATTTCTTATTATTTTATTGTTTGTATTGTTTTCTTTTTCACTTTCCCAATATAAATATGTGAAAGCTTATTGCTGAACATTATGTGTACAATTCACTAAGTTTGAATTGTTTTTTGTATAACTGTAGATGATGATAGGCTCTTATGAGTTCTAACATGTTATAACTTTCTTTCAGGGTAATAATATTATTTTACTCTAATATAAATATATATTTTTTTCATCAAAAGTTAATTCCAATTTATTATTTCTGTTTTAGAGTATCTACATTTATGAATATGATCTATTGGAGTACAAAAAACAATTCCCCTCTACAATATGACTCACAGTGATCGATCGAAGCAAAGGAGAATTTTTGCTGCTGCGCTTGGCATCCAATCATTCCTCATTCGACTGTCTATCATAAGGCTCCTTGTTATATCTGACAGGATATTCCATCAAACTTTTTAAAATAATAATAGCAGCAGTGGTCTATTCAGACAAATATTTCTGTGAGGTTTCCACTAGTATTTCGCAGTATGGGGTAGGTTTTGTATAAATATTGTATGAACAATATGATATTTATACATTGGGCTTATATTGGCTCATTCTTTTCTTTCTGTAGAGTTATTAATTTCCTTTTTATTGTGCATGATTTCATCCTAATAGATCATCTCCTTCACATTTCTCATCATCCTATAATATTTACCTATTTTCTTTTGTTATATCATCATCCTCAATATCTTCTGCCTGGATGATTTTCCTTACTTCAAATTGTGGTACATGAAATTTGATATGGCTATTTTTTACCTGGGCTTTTGTGTATTGTGTAGTTATTAAATATGATTTCATAATTTCATTAATCTATTATTTTCATGTATAAAGAGATTCGAATACATGTTCTCCCAAGCTCCATTCTTTATATGCAGCTTGCAGCATATCGATCGATCACTGTACCCTACCACACCCTGAATATTGCAATGGATGCTACATACTTCACATATTATATTGATTTTGTTTGAGAAAACATATAAGGAGACAATACAAATCATTTTTTGTGAAATTATTGAACCTTTCCAAAAGTGTTAAAATGAGAAGTTAAATAACACTTCAATCTGTTCCAGTGTTACATTGGATGCTGAATACTTCACACATATTGATTTTCTTTGAGAGTATATAATATAAGGAAACACTAACAATTTTTATGTGAAATTTATTGCTTTTTCAATTTAGAACTGAATAAAAACAAAAAATTGTTACCCTTTTTGAAAATGTTGAAGTAACTAATGTGTAATAAAACTCAATGTGTTCCTGTTCTCAAAATTGATATATTCCTACTTATTACTCTGATAATCATGGTCACCACAAAGAGTATCATGAGTATCAATATGTTTGAGTAAATATATAGTCTAATAACATTAATATACAATAAGTCAAATTGAATTATAATGAATGGAAAATCCATTATTTTATAAAAGTATTTTCATTATAATAATAGCAATATCATATTATACAATTCTCTTTGATGTCACTTGATAAACATTTTGTATCATTAAATAGGTCTTGATCAAGTCTTGATAATGTTATTATGAATATAGAAGAGAACCTCTAAGAAGAAAATGCATTTTAGAAAATATAATTTGTGACAGACGAGGTGACAGCTCTTAATATTAATCTTTATGAATATTGGAACATTCTGCTAATGAATTTTAGAAAAGTTGTTTTTATCAAGAAAGCCTTTTTTAAATCATAAATACACATTGCTTTTATTACAATGAACTCAAGGGATTATTTCATAACCTATTTATTACTCAAAAGATTTTTACAATGGCAAAGAATTTTAAAACTTCCTGTATATTCGGTTTTTTCCAATATCTGAGTACACTTGAAAGCCACCAGAATCCAGTAACTTATCAATGTTTCATGAAGCGTGAATTGATATATTTTTTTTCGTTTCCAAGGATATAGAAAATTGTTCAATCAAGAAAGTAGATTGAAACGGATTTAACTCTAATCAAAAATGCTTGAATTATTGATGATCTAAGTTGGGCAGAATGCTTTTGAATCTTCACTTTTTAAATCAAAGAATGGCTCTATTGAACATATCTGTTTAATTACTAGAAAATCATAAGCAAAATCGCTAATTTATAAGTATGTTATATAATAAATACCTAAGATTCAATATAAACTTATAGACAAATACAAAAAGATATACAAAAATCTTCAGAAAGTCTAGTTGGACCTCTCTGAAATATAAATTTTCAACCTAATTTTGAAAAATATTGAGAAACAAGCATTCTTAACATAAAGTGTCATTCAGTCCTTCAACAATCGGAATTTTCCGCCATTCTGTTATTTCATGGTGGGATAAAAAATTTACCTTATTTAGTATGGACGTGATCCCTCTATCTTTCTTATAATTTTGCTTAGGTATTTTTATCATTTGACAGATATAATTCAATATTCTGTGGTATTAGCCAGGAAAGTGGTTTATCAATGGTCATTTCTAAAAAAAAAGAATATAATAAATTCCATAATTAGTTTCTGATATGTAATTTGCATGATCTAATTGAATTAACTGATATTTCCTTTTCACCAAATAACTAGCAAATCATAATTGAGAACATGCTGAAATGATGTTCCTTAACTCCTTTTTTTTTCCTGAATCCAGACTGATTGACTTTCAATATATGATTTTGGACAATGCAATCTTCGAAAATAAAATAATACTTCTGATAAGGTGCTAAATGCACTTGACATATTATTTGATAGAGAAAGTCACGTTACTTGTTTGAATTATGTTGAATTGAAATTATTGTAGCTATTTTTATCATGGAAGGTAAAATACCATGTTGAGTGCAATAAGACCGTCATATGAGTGATTTTAAATCCACCTATATATATTTTTGTCAAGTTTATTATACTTCATTGGAAATAGATAATACTGAATACAGTCAGTAGAAAAAGGAAATCATTGTAATATAAAAATTCATGAGTGTTGGTGTTTGCATTGATCAGTATTCTCTATGTGTAGTATGGACTCAAAAGTGTTTTCTCTGGGAAGTGTTTCTTTCTTTGTAAGTTTTCAGGTATAGTGACAAGTAGTGGCTCAATCAATATCATTTGATGTAGGAATGTTAAAGAATTTGATAAAAAGCACCTTGAAATCTCGTCGATAGGCTCATTTTTTTTTCATAGAGGATATTATTGGATGGATTGTGTACATGGTCGTAGCCAAGGAGGGGCAGGGGTGGGCGCTTGCTCTCCCTTGGTCCAGTCAGCGAAAATATCAATGACATTTTTCTGCATGATAGATGATATTTATATACTTGATCGATTCGTGATCGAAATTTATTTGACTAATAAATATGCTTATTCATTTCAAATTGTGTGCATGTGCATTGCCAGTCAATTCTTCCAGATAGCCAGAAAAATACTTGATCTTGTGAGAAATCACCGTGAAACGGCAGACATCATAAAAAAATGACAATAATCGAAGCTAAAAGAATCGCTGACAATCTTGAAACAGACTTTCCAGGGGCACGGCTCGCAGAACAAGTGCACCGTTCAAATCCTCCAGCACAAACTCGTTGCATATTCTGGAAAAGGTCATTTGTAGTAATTCCTTACTTTAATTTATCAGTTACTTCATTCGAGCAGTGATTTTCAGATGATAACATACCTATCTCACTACTTATACTGCCCCCGTTTAATATGGTTAGATATGGACAGTATAAAAAATCACAAATTTCCTATTATTATAATATGGACAAATTTTCTAGTGAAAGCAAATTATGATATAATTTATGGCAAAAAGAAAAATTGCAAAAGAAGCGATGAAAGAGATGGAAATAGCAGAATTGGTGAAACTGTTTTTTATACCCAGCAACTGAACGCGAACCCTTGATAATTTCACTAGTTCAACCATGTGTTACATTAAATTGTATGTTTTCTGATGTTGATGAAAATTTTCGCTTGAACAGATCTTAATGACCAGCTCTACATCATTAGTGCTACCGATTATGTACAAAGTCCAAAGTCATCTCCGCTTATAGAAGCCCATCATCGGCCGAATATAAGGATATAGTTATGGAAATGAAAAAAGTTGAAATTCAAATAATGTATAGACAATAACAGGGCAAACGATGACGTATGCTCGGATGCTCCATGATCTTCTATGTAAAAGAAGTGTATTTTATACAAAATATATTAAAAATTTATTTGAGGCTAATTCCGATACCGCATCAAGCTTTGATGTTTGATGATATATTCTCTAGTTTAATTGCCACATTTCGGTAATTTAAGGGCACGACCCGACCCTTGAATTAATTTTTGACATGGTATTCTATATAAAAGAAACTTCTTTTACATAGATAATCATGGAGCGTATTGGTTTGTCCTGTTATTGTCTACATTATTTAAATTTCAACTTTTTACATTTTCATAACTATATATCCTTTCGTTCGGCTGATGATGGCCTTATATAAGCCGGAACATGTACCATTGAGTGATCTTTTATCACTGTCAATAAAAGTTATGGAGATGACGACTTAGGGTTTTCATCTATGAACTACACCACTCACTCCACTTTGAGTTGTCATGAATTGCTTCTTCCAAATATTGTATAATTATGTGATAAAAATTTTCATCCATGACTTCGAGTACAAAAATAATGAGTTTTATTCTGATATTCAAACCCTTTATTACACACAATTTGAACGGGGTATATCATGAAAAATATTGCTCGGACCCAAAAATGTTGGGAGAAGTTTTTTTTTATGTTCTGGTTCCCACGAAAAGGGATATCCTGTAATGTTCAGAGAACGTGGAATTGGTGTTCTCCTTGAATTTCTGAAGGTTATATGCCTCGGGGAACACTTCCTTTGGCAATGTGTTCCAGAGCCTCGCTGTTCGTTGGATGAACGAGTCTTTGGAAAGAGATGTTCTGCAGGTCTCCAAAGTGACCACGAAGGGGTGCGAAGCCTCAACTCGACGGGTTTATCTCGCGGGGACTGCCAAGGGAGGTACAATTGTTGATATTTCAGAAGAGCATCGTCCATGGAAATATTTATGAAATAGAGCCAGATCGCCAACTTTTCGACGGTGTTCCAGAAAAGGGAGTGAGTTTGTGAGCCAGGCATCACCCACGAGACGAATTGCCCTTTTTTCGACAGAATCCAACAGTTTCAGGGTATGTTTGGGTGCTGCACTCCAAATATGGGAACAGTATTCCAGGACAGGTCGGATCTGTGCCTTATAGATCATAATCAGCTGACTGGAAGTGAAATAGCTCCTGGCCCGAAACATAAAACCAAGTTTTTGGGATGCACTTTTCGCAATTATTGATCTCACGTGATTTCCCCAAGAAAGGTTATTGCTGATAGTAATACCAAGCATCGAAATGGATGACTTCAAAGGTATGGTCAGTCCTGACATGCTTATGTTTGGCACAAAAAGGCATGCTTGTGTTTTGTTTGCATTGAAATCTACCAAGTTATTGGATCCCCATTCGAGAATTGTTGCCAAGTCCATATTTATGTTGTCAACATTTCTCCCTCGTTCGTTTCTGATTTGCCTGGCTGGTATTGAAGCCCTGGAAGAGAAGGCGGTATAGAGGGTACTATCATCCGCGAAGCTGTGTACTGGACATAAAGTTGCTTCCAACAAATCGTTGATATGGAGTATAAATAGTGTTGGTGCTAGAATTGATCCTTACGGAACACCAGCATTAATGGTAAGAGAGTCAGATGAAACTCCGTCGACCACTACATCAACCTAACCTAACCTAACCTGTTTGAGAGAAAACTAGCTAGCAGAGAACATAGCTGGGGAGGCAAGCCATAAGATGGAAGCTTGGCGAGGAGTCCGTGGTGCCAGACTCGATCGAATGCTTTGGAGATATCAAGTGCCACGGCTAAGGTTTCACCATATTTTTCAATAGATTGCTGCCATATATGTGAGACGTAAGCGAGCAGGTCACCAGTTGATCTCTGATGACGGAAGCCATATTGCCTATCGTTGATAATACCTGAATGTTCCAGGTATTTCATGAGCTTGATGTTGATAGCTTTCTCCATGATCTTTGAAATAATAGATAGCAGTGCGATCTGTCTGTATTTGCTGGGTAGGGTCTTTTTGCCTTTTTTAGGAACTGGTTGTACAATTTTCCAGTTGGACGGAAATATCCCCAATTTGTAAGAGTAGTTGAACAACTTGCAGAGAACAGGTGTTAGTTCGGGAGCACATTTCTTGAGAACAATCGGTGGGATTCCGGCGGAGCCACAAGCTTTGTTGGTGTTGAGACCCAATAAAGTCTTCCTTATAGTACGTTGGCGAAAGGTGATCTCGGGAATATGACTGCCAATTGGCATTATGTTTGGAGGTTGTTTTCCCGATGAATCCAGAGTGGAATTTCCAGCAAATAAATGCGCAAAAATGTTGGCTTTCTCCTGAGCAGTTGTGGCTACTGTCCCATCTTCCTTGGTTAGAGGAGGAAACAAGCTGGAAGTGAAGTTTCTTCCTACAGCTTTGGCGAGGGACCAAAATGAACGGGATCCGTTAGGACATTCAACAAGTTTTGATCTTATTTTGGCATTATGAGCATCCTTTGATGATCGAATTGTCTCATTGCATATGCCTCTAGCCTCGACATATTCTGCTCTAGTCTCGGTAAAATTATCTCTTCTTTCATTTTGTATATGGGTATATTTGGCGCATAATCAATATCTACCGAGAAAAATCAGAAAAACCGTTTGTTAGCATCTTTAGAGTGTTGCCCATTGTTCAGCGTACACGCGGTCGGAGGGGACTTTTGATATATACCTGAAAACACACTGAATCCTTTTGTATAAATTATTTCGCAGTTTGGCAGTTTTTCGACTAATTTCAGTGGACATGCTCGTTCTCCTGGTATTTGAACTGATGTATGGGAATTGTTAAATTGGTTTAATTTCTTTCAGGATAGATCATGACGCTTCCATCCCCACTTCCGGCCAGCAGCAGCGCATGGACGACAGGCGCGTGGACCGGCGGGCAGCCCCAGCATCAGGCGGAGCACTCGGCGGCCGCCCGTTCGACATGAGCGACCGCGGCGGCGGAGACAAGACGAGGGGCGGCAAGCAGCACCTGCGCACCGACGAGGTCGGCAAGCAGCACCTGCGCACCGACGAGGGCGCCTTCGATCACAAGTCTCCCCGGCCGCCGGTGCCTGGCGAGGAGCGCAGCCACTTCTCCTCCGATTGGGGCCCCGCGACGGCGGAGCGGGGCTTCGGCAAGTCGGTCTCGCCTCCGGCTAGAAAATATCTCAACAATCCCAATGGTAGGTAATCAAAATAAATAATAATAATAATTGAGGAGCTTTATTGTATACTCAAAAGGCCACCAACCAAGGTCCTTCAGCCTGTGATTATACATTTAGTTTGAATTCATCATTGTATGTACAAAATATATGGAATTATTAAATTTGCTAGTGTACAAAGAAGAAAAGTCTATTGTGAGGCAAGAATTTTGAAGGATTTTCAGTCTTCTGAATTGATTAAGCATTCCAGAAATCGGTTGCACCCTGGTCAGCCGATATAGAAGTTCGTTTGATGGATGGTGAAGATTATTTTGAGGGTGCCGGATTTTGGTAATGTCTCTCAGATTAACTCTTTCTGCTACTTCCAAATCTGGCTTTTCTTCACCCCGATGTTCCTTGGACCCCCAGCTCACATGTGCCCGCGAGGCACTGAAGAACAAGGAGCTTCCAGCATCTTTGATAGCTGCTATGGACTTACTGTCCATCCCAACTATCAATGTTAGGCCGCGTTTCTCCTCCTGTTCCAAACTCTCCACTGAGAAGTGGACAGGTTGGGATTCTACCTCTCCAGGACACTCAGCATGTCCTGGTTGGGCAGCCTCCCTGGAATTCTGAGGACGAACCTTTGGCGCCTGAATTGCTCTGGATCATTGGCCACCAGACTTACGCCCTCCCAGGGTTTGATTTCTGTAAGACTCCTGAGGAGGCAATCTCTGGAGTCCTCGTTGGCTGCGGTTACAAGCAGTTGCCTACCCCATAACCGCCTCGATGTGAATCATTGGACGTCATTGGCGTCCCCATGATCACTGCTCCAACAGCATCTAGGAACTCCAGCATCTGGTCCTCAGTGAATTCCGCTTCAGGTTGCCCTTCGCGGCTGATGACCACCTGCATGGTCCTGTCTGTGGCTGCCACCTGCGAGTAGCTCGGCTGTCCCGTATGAGTCTGCCTTGCGTTTGCAATACCAGACCGGGGCCGCATTGTTCTTGGCCTTGACACCCTTAGGGTGCACAGCAGATTTTCCTTCCGCAGTGGATCTTCGTTGAGGCCCACCACTTCCAGGTTTCCTTTGGGGTCTCTTTCTCCCTTCTCTTCCTTTCAGCACCACAGGGCCTTCTCACCTTGACCATGGAAAAGTCCGAGGTCAGATCAGACACGACCGAGTCTCGAGAGCGATCCTCGGATGTGCTGGGTTTTGACGAGGGGTCAGGTTCGGTATCAACAGGCCTAGGTTAGGTTAGGGTAGGTTAGGTCGCCTGTTAGGGTTAGGGAACTGGAGATCGCCTAGGTGGCAGTCCTCCTGTGCTGGGTGTTGGGACGTCCCCTCACTGGATTCCTCCCGAGTAAGGTTCCATAGACTCCGAAGAGTCCTCCAAGGACGAGATTTCACCGCCTCGTCGACGGTTTTCTTGATTTTCTTTATGGTGGCTCATATTATTCCCACGAGTAAGTGGGACATGAAGGTCGCCACACGCGGTGCCTCCTGCACGTGTGGAAGGCTTTATAAAACTGGGTACGCTTGTGTCTCAGAAGTTTGCCGCTAATGGCCGAGTTCCCCTCGACCATCCATCCCTTCGGCGTGCACAATACCTTAGGATTATGGAAGGTTTTTAAAGTGGTCTCACCACGCGGCCCGGGCGGTTAAGCCAGGACCACCGTGCCTCTCGTGACGTTTTTGAAGTTTTGATAGTTCCACAGGTCGCCGCTATATACAGGTATTTTTTCGACATCACGCCAGAAATGGTAAGTATGACTTTTTTCATAAAAAAATTACTAAATTGTACCTAAACTAGCTCGCAAAATCCCGCATCACGATATCTTGTTCTTAACCTGAAATTTAATCCAAAGACAATTTTTTTCATTATGTACGTTGTGGCCCTAAAAGGGCCGATTTGAAAAAGAAATGCTGACCACACTATGCATTGCTGAAGCCTCACGTGGGTGGACAAAACTGCAGCTTCAATTTGGGTTCTTTCTATGTTACGTGCATTACGAATCCGGTTTTCCATATCTTCTCTGGTCGTAGGTTGAGTCTGAAACACGACGTCCTTCAACCGCTCCCATAAGTAGAAATCAAGGCTAGTCAAGTCTAGTGATCACAAAGGCCATGGAAATAGAGTTTCTCTTCCAATTTATCGCTGTTGAAATATTGCATCAATATGCTCTTGCACAATAAAATGTGCTAGGCAACCTTCCAACTACAAAAACAGGTGTTTCCAGTGGCAACTTTTCCAACAACGTGCAAGCCAATGATACATTGTTGTATATAAACATTGGATGTAGGGGTTAGGGATTCCAAAGCTATCTGGGCTGGTGCTACTCTTCACATGACATGAACTTGTCGAGTCGTCGTAATGGTAATCACAATGTTAGTTGTTATTAGGTCTGTATAATATTCATTATTGTTTATATCTCATCACTGCCAATGATATTATATGCTCAAGATCTTATGCTATATTAAATATTCGAATATAGTTTCGTATTTTCAGCTACCCTCAAAGCATTAGTGCCCTTTCAAATAAAGGTGTTGGAATAAAGGTTTGATATTTTATTATTGTTGCTTTCCGACATTTGTTTAGTGTTTTTATTTATGGTCCCAGTTGTGATTTTTTTCGTTTCCACACAATTTCATCCACTTAGGACACTTCTTTGGGTTAACTAATTATTCTTCTGAATACACTTTTATCAGAGTACTGAGTAGACTTCCACAATCAGATTTAATCAAAATAAAGCCATTTGGGTAATCAAAGAACCATAATATTGCTTCAGCTTGGAGCAAAGTCTCCCATTCTCGTGCCCGAACGTTCCAATTGAATCGCTCGACTGCTTCCAGAACCCCCGGCCGCCTGCCACGCCTACGACCCGGAGGGCGGCTTCGGTTGCCGCCCCTCCTCGCGCTCCCACCCCTCGGACGTTTCCCCACCCCCCGCCTGCGTCAGGTGGGCGCAGTCGCTGCGTGCGCTGCTCCAGGACCCCGACGGCGTCAAGCTGTTCCAGCGGTACCTCGAGTCGGAGGGGCGCCACCACGCAGACACGCTGGATTTCTGGTTCGCCTGCGAGGGGCTGCGCAAGCAGATGGCCAAGGAGAAGATCCAGCAGCTAGTTAAGGTTATTTATAAGTGAGTCTCGATACTTTTTTTTTTCTTGTTATAATAATAGGGGCTTTATTTTTGATATCCTCGGCGAAGTCCAGCAAAGCTGTTCTACTTAACCCAGTACCATATTACATTTGAATTACATAACTACCTACATAGTAGCTTAAATATAAAACTAACTTATCTACTAAATATAAGTATTACATTATTATCTATCATAAAATTCGATTTATCAGCGAAAGAAAAATAATTTAGTTGACTTTTTGAAGTGGAACATTGATTCATTCTTGAGCTCTTGTGGGAGAGAATTGTATATTTTAACTGCATTATAGGAAAAGCATCTCTCATATAGAGCTGTTCTATGCATCGGCATCACGAGAAGACCTGTATTTCGAGTGAAACGATTATGAATTTCCGAAGTTAATGTTAATAGATGATGAATGTAAATAGGATTTTATCTTTCAATACTTTGTGAACCAAGCAGACAATATGCAATTTACGCCTATTGAACATATTGAGCTATCCCAATTCTCTAAGTTTATGAGAAATGTGGTCTCTGGCTCTGAGTGAGTAAATGAATCTGATACAAGAATTCTGAATTCTTCGAATTCTTGCTGATGAAACTGCATCCAAGCATGGACCATATACTAAATCAGCATAATTAGTATGACTCAATACTAGTGATTCACATAGTTGCTTTTTCAAGGGTACATTGATAAAAGACCTACTTACTAACAATAGATTTAACCTGTGCCTTGAATCTCAGCATACTATCAATAAGAATCCCTAGACTTTTCACTACATCACAGGGCTCTACTCTAACAGTGACAATTTCAATTTTCAAATCAGATTTCACCCCTACTGATACATTATCAAAACATATAGCTTGGGTCTTCTTTGGGTTAATCATGCTTATCAGAGTTTGCAACTATGTTCTCCAAAGTTTGATTTATATCTAAACATGCAGTATTCAACTCATCAGCAAGAATACTTTTATAAACTTGGGTGTCATCAGCAAACTGATCAATTGTACAATTTACAGAATTCCTATTGAGATCCATGGTATATATTAAAAATAGAAGAGGTCCGAGGATTGAGCCCTGCGGTACACCTTTATCAACTAATCTAGAGCTGGACTGCAAATTGTCAATTAACACATATCGGCTCCTATGAGAAAGACAGCTCCGTAATAGTTTGACTACCCTATTAGAAAAGCCATAATAGTTAATTTTAGCCAAAAGGAGTTATCTGCCTAAAGTGTCAAACGCCTTACTATAGTCTAATAGAACTAGTGTTGTAATTTCTATATTCTAACGTTTATTTCACATAATTATTTGAAATGGGAATTTGTTTTGGAGTGTTTCTTTCCTTTTACTCAGGTGGCGTTCGTCTCCATCTCGCAGATGCCGAACGCCTCGTGGGTATTAAATGCTGGGATGTGTTAACGTTTGGTCAGGTTCACACCAGATGGCGGTCATGAATGCCGGGACACCCCTGCACTGATGAGAGTCAAAAGCTCGAAACCGGTCTGTAGGTAGTCAAGCGTTCCTGAACAATTTGGGCACAGCTCAGCATTTAGGAAATAATCACTTGCAGCTGTATCCGTCTTTATGAATCGTTGCATAGATATCCGGAGGATGTAATTCAATGAGGATGTAATTCAATGTGGCATATAGTCGGAAAAGTAGTTGTTTTTCTCTGGTTATCTACCATTTTTCGTTCATTTTATGAATTATTGTGAAATGACTATGAGTTCCTCCCTCTTTGTCACATAATGGGGTTGTAGTTCAGCAGATTAGCTAAACAATTGTGCACTTTTTGATAAATGCACCAAATTTGGCACAGAGGTAGGCCGATATCTGAATAAACTGAATAATAAACCTGTTGATATAATATGAACAAATTTGAATGTGGAGTCATTGGCCAACTGCCCCCTGAAGGCCGTGGTGGCCATTTTCCTAAATGGCCGTCAGTGAACACCCGAATGACATCAGAAGTTAGATGAAGTTTGCTGCTGACTCCACTGCAGAAGGTTTGTGATTGTTTATTGAATGTTTCGAATGAAATCATATCTTTTTATCAGTTATGTACCGGGTGTCCACGTAATGTGGAATAACTCAATAGGTCCATTGCAATAAGATATAGAGAATATCTTTTTGGAGATATAGCTGTAGTACAATATTGTTGGGTCTTTAACGCAAAATTATTTTAAAATAGGTAAAATATACAATTCTCTCCCACAAGAGCTCAATGTTTCACTTCAAAAATTCGACAAAATTATTTTTCTTTCGCTAATAGACCGTGATTTAGAATAGATAATAATGTTATACTTATATTTAGTAGATAAGTTGGTTTTATATTCAAGCTACTATGTAGGTTGTTATTTAATTCTAATGTAATATGGTACTCGGTTAAGTAGAACAGCTTTGCTGGACTTCACCGAGGATATTAAAAATAAAGCCCCTATTATTATTATTACCTCAGCAGTTTTTTACCAAAACTCTTTGTCTACTGAATGGCGTAGATTTGGAATTATCTGCCTAGGAAAGTTTTCCCAAGAACTTATATGCTCCGAAGCTTCAAAAAATATTCACTTATTTAATCAGTTGAAATAGTCAATAGTTATATTTTGGGATTGGATATGTGCCACGGATCCAGACCCCTTACGCGTTTGAAATGTTTTCTGGATTTCAATAATTCAAAAAATCCTTGGAACAATTTGGAAACAATGGATTCTTGTGAACTAGATTGGGTTGAAACTAGAATGTTAAAATTTAAAATATGTCCCAAAAAAGGCAAAAATGATAGTTGATTTTATTTTTATTTAAGGAAATTTTTCGTTAAATCTGCTCTTCCAATCGATGAGGAGTTGAAGAAGGAAATAGGAAAGAATATTAAATCTTCTCAGTGCCTTGAGCCCCCAGTGACTTTGTTTGACAAAGCACAAGCTATAGTTGAACAACTCATCCATGAGACAACATACCCCAACTTCCTTGAAAGTGACTCGTACCTGCAATATCTACAAGTGAGTAACTTGAAAATAGGATTCCAGAAACATTCATATGAATACCTGTACATATACTGTTGATCATTTCAGAATGACTCATGATTTTTTTCTTTCCAGAATGTTCAAAATCTTAGTAGCAGTAGTAGTAGTAGCGATTTTAGTAATGAACTGTCAAACATGACAAATGTGCCGGATCCTCTGCCAACTTTACATGAAGATATGGAACTTGTAATGAATCCTCCTGTTCACATTAGTCATAATTCAGGTAAATTCAAACCCTACCTACTATTTCTTTCAGTAGTTCTAATGTACTGAACGTTGAATATTGAACTTTCATGGGAATTTATAATATCTTATTCATCTTATTATGGATAACATATTGTGATTCAGTTAGATTTTCAGTAGTTGAAAAAATTTTCAAAAAAATCCTGTTACAAGGGCATTAATACCAAATCACTATGTTGGGTATCACAACTAAAAGTAACCAAAAAATAAAACAAATTCAACTTAAGGTTTTACCCACTGTATTGTGATGTCAGTTACATTGGGTAACACATTTTCTACCCTTCTAATGATGTGGCTAGCTATGCAGGATTCTGGTTATTCAATTATGTTATGTAGGTTATACACCACCATGATCCTTTGAAATTGCACCTTTCAAACTAGTTGATTTATTCAGGGTTGACTACTTTTCAAATATCCTGAATAGTGAAGATCGTTTCAATTCCACATCACTTGGCCACACTTTCATATATCTTATAGTTGAAACTGGCAAAGAAATTACAAAATTTCTTCAAATTAAATTGTTTCCTAGTCTCCTGCCTGAAAAATTTAACAAATTGAACTTGTGTAATGAGAGTTGACTCAGCCATTGTCACCAAGTCCTCTTTTCTGAAACTTGAATCATCTTTATTCTGAATGGAACAATGTATTTCATTCCACCTTTGGTTAGGAGATTTTCATTATGAGTTCAACAATACTGGTTTCCATAGGGTTTTTTTGATCACTGCGAAGGTATAACCAAAAAAACCATCCCATTTCCCAATGACTGTGACAGAGAACATAACTACATATAATAAGGGTATCTCATTCAGAATAAATAAGTTGATTGGAGTTTCAGGAGAAACAGAGAATGTAATTTTCGAATCAAACATATAATCTCATATAATGTAACCTCTATGTATTTTTTTGAAAATTTCTCTTCAACAGTTGGTAAATTCGACTGGTCCCATACTTTTAACTAACCCTATTTTCTCCTGGTGAAAAGTGAAAAGTTCATCCTATCCATGAAATTCAATTCAGATGGATTCTAAAACTCTATAACCAGAAGATGACTCAAAACTTTTTCAAGTGTATGGTTTGAAAGAGATGCTGAATGTATTATGTCTAACCAGAACTAACTTTATTTTTTCAGGAACTGGTAGTGTGAGTACTGGCTATCACACACCCAACGTTGGTGCAGGGGGGCCAGTACGTCTGACTAAAGACCTTCTGCTTATCTCCCAGAAACACAGGGCTGTGGACGTGAGGCCTAAATCAGAAACTTTCTTAGGGTAAATTTTCTTGCATCTTCTACTAATTGCTTACTTTTTCATTGCATCAGAGGCTTCCATTGGCATTTGCCCCCTCAGCAATTATTATCAAGTAGTCTTTCTATGCTCTCATTTGTTATGATTGATTTTTTTTTATTTGCGTTTGCGTATTTAGTATGTACATGTATCGAGGTGGCCCTGGAGCTCATGCTGCCTATAATTCGTACAACCCCAACTCAAGGCAAGATAGCGAACTCCATTCCCTTAGTAGTCATTCGGATGCCAGAACGGAATCTGATAATTTGTCTATCACAGACAGTTCTGTGTAAGTATTTCATAAAATTGATAATATAGTGGAACTCCTATACTATTTTTGCGATTATAAGGCTGGCTAATAATGGTTGAAGCAAGGTCTGATGGAAATATTTTCTGGATGAATATGAATGATTCATGAAGGGGGTCCAACAAAATGAGCTTTCAATTTGGATAATGAATATGATCAAATAGTTTTTTATCCATAAAAACGCAATGTTTGGTAAATTCTGGCATCTGTACAAATCAGCCCCTATAATGGAAAATATATATATTTTTATATTGGTAATTCCAACATTTGAGAGGGTACATAAAACAATCCTAACCTTTTAGTCTTCAGGTAAATGTTTCCATTTCTCTTCTTGAATCAATTCATATGTTCTAGTAACTTTGTACCAGAGTATTTTATTTTTAATCATTGTTGAGGAATCAAGAACTTGCTTGAGGTGTAATCTAGTAGTTTATATCTCATTGGATCAATGATCTATACAGACTGTTCGTTTTATTTATTTAATACCAAATGGTAGATTCTGTTAGGTATCTTCATTTTAAACAAGAATAATATCTATCTAATTAATAATTAATAGACATATCGAGTAACTAATTTGTATGGGAACGTTGAAATTATCCTATGTTCATCTTGAAAATGATTTTGTCAATTTTGAAGAAAAATCTGGTAAATTCTTTGATGTAAATAATAAAGAGTAGGTACAATATTGTGCATCAACATTTTTTCACTAGGCCTTGTTGAATGTTTTTATTTTCCTCAGTGATTGAGAAAAGCAAGTTGTATTGAAACATATTTTCACCATCAACTCCAAAAATATTCATTTGAATAATTGTAACACATTTGAAATCCAGTTGAGAAGAGTTTCTTCCAGTGTATATGCTGTGAACAATGGAAGTGGTTAATTGAATGACTGTCTTATGCACAATTTTATACAGTAATATCAATTGTTAAGGTGATAAACTATCAATGGTTTACCTATGGTTCTACAGTGAATCTCGTGAATCATGCGGTATATTTGCAATAATATCTGGACACACAGTCAAATCCTATTGCAATATCAGGCTGTTCCTATAGTGAACCACTGGTTACAAACAAATTATTTTAAATGGCGGGTTTGTGTGTGTAAAACGTCCGCTATTCCTGTAGTCTACATATAATTTGTATCTGCAACCTATTGGACCACTCCGAGAAATATTGATGATTTGGTCCTGTTGAAACTAGAGTCATTGGATGGTATTAATAGATAAAAGTTCGGACCCGCTGAACTTCTGTCCTTCTCTATTTTCTAAATAATGCTTGAATGAATAAAAAAATTACATATATTCTGCTCTTTGTCTTTTCAATTTACCTAATAGCGCCTGATTGTCAGATACGATTTTAGAGATTACATGTTCTGTCAAATAAATCATGGCCGTAGGTGGAAAATAGAAATAGGGTATTAACACCCACGATAAGGCACTTTTCGCAGAACAACAGTTATAAAGATGAGAAGAATGCATGTAACAACATTTTAATATGACAAAATAGACACATATAGATAAACTTATAGCTAGTTCGGTCAGTATTGAAAACGCCATTCAATGAGTCCAAGTAAGGATGTCTGTCTATCATGGGGTATAGTTAATGATGGTTTCCCCGGAACGAAACGTACGGAAAATGTCTCACTCCCCCTTTTTTATAGAGCTTCAAAAATTGGAACGAGAAAGTGTCTTCTGTTTTCCTATACAGGGTGTCCGCTAAAAGGAGGTCAATCCATTAACCATATTATATTCCTTGAACAAAAATAATATGAGTTTCTAAATACCATTTTTCATTTTAGCCTTTCTTATTCGATATACAGGGTGTCAAAGTTGAAAATTAAAAACTGTTTTTTTCTAATTACTCGCGTAATTAATAAGATATTAATCTGAAAATAGGTACATTACTTCAGCACAAAGAGTTACATCGTGTGAGGAAAACAAAACAGAAAATTACTGTCATATATTCAAAATACTGGGGGTCAAGTACACACTTACCCCCATATTTTTTTTGTACGTGCGCTAATGACTTCCTATCTATTTTTCTTCATGTGTTCAATCATTTTTGAGTATTTTTTGATTTTTGTAAGATTCCGATAAAATTATTTGTTTTTAAGATAATTCGAAAAGTACTGGTTATTGTTTGATGCCTTGCGGCTTACGGTGATCTCATAATGTTCACATACTCCTATTTATTTCGTCGAAATTGGAAGAGGGCGTATCTTATTACGTACGGAAAGGTGAATATGGAAATACCGGGTGCTCAGAGCGAATGTATTAAAATAATTTTTACACTTTAATTTTTTTTTTTGTAAAAATTATTTTAGTACATTTGCTCCGAGCACCCGGTATTTCCATATTTACCTTTTCGTACGTAAAAAAATAAGCCCTCTTTCAATTTCGACGAAATAAATAGGAGTATGTGAACATTATGAGATTACCTAAGCCGCATAGGCATCAAACAATAACCAGTACTTTTCGAATTATCTTAAAAACAAATGATTCAATCGAAATTTTACAGGAAACAAAAAATACTCAAAAATGATTGAACACTTGAAGGAAAATAGATAGGAAGTCATTAGCGCACGTACAAACAAAATATGGGGGTAAGTGTGAACTTGACCCCCAGTATCTTGAATATTTGACAGTTATTTTTTGTTTTGTTTTCCTCACACGATGTAACTCTTTGTGCTGAAGTAATGTACCAATTTTGAGATTAATATCCTATCAAATACGCGAGTAATTAGAAAAAAACAGTTTTTAATTTCCAACTTCGACACCCTTTATACCGAATATGAAGGGCTAAAATGAAAAATGATATTTAGAAAAACATAATGTTTTTGTTCAAGGAATATGTGGTTAATGGATTGACCTCCTTTTAGCGGACACCCTGTATATCTTTAATTAACGTCAGAAAAAAATAAAAACGATTTCCATGATAGACATCCTTATCTTGGACACAGTGTATATCACATTGCAATTTACTTGATTATCTGAGTATCGTTCTCAAATTTTCAATTTCTGAATGTAGTTTTGCAATCAATTCCTCTTTCTCCATGATAATTCGGTTTTGCATTTCGTGTGATGATAATAATAGATTTTTTTAAATAGTCTGTTTTGTAAATGGATGGAAAGCAGATTCTCTCAAACGGATCTTAAAATCTTCTGTTTGAAAATGGGCCTAAAATATAGTTTCATTCTAATCTGCTTTTATAAGAAGTGAATTTTAATGTATGTATCTCACAAATTCTGCTTGTCTTCAAATCAATTTTCCATCCAGGCCGTTTCATACATTCCTTCCATATGAGAATGGTCAATATTTCCTTTGGAAAATTAAATAAATGTAATCCATTCTCTTCTCAATTCCCACAACTCATTGCACAGCAGGACATTCTCATATATGCTTTCTTCTCAATGGTTTATGAAAATATAATTCAATTCTGACGTTCATTCATTCATTCATTCATTCAATCTGATGTTATGTTTTCAAATTCAGACAATTTTGAATGAAAAAGCGCGGGACGACTATGGTGCTCTTGTCACAATGCTAGATGTGTAACTTAATAAATCTGAACATTCAAAAACACCAACAGTTGTCATTTCTGTGTCCAAACTCATCTAACTAATACCATCCAGTGACTCTAGTTGAACCTAAAAATCGTTTTCCATCCTCTTGCTGATTGCAGTACTTTTATTAGTAAACTGTCCTCATTGGCATACTTATTCTAGACTTTCAAAAAGGATGTCTGTATACCAGATTAATTAGTGCTTATCACAGTGGTACACTCTCATTGTTTCAGCGATTGTTTAGTCAGCTTTAAATCGACTAGTATAAAAATAGTCGCGAATTACATCATTGTATTGAATCTATAACATAGTTTATTGTAATCGAGGGTATAAGCAACTAGGAATATACCAAATAACATTACTACATAAAACAAGGTATGGTAGCATGAGGTGAAACAATAACATTATGAATGCTTAACTGATTTTAGTAGTTGAATTTAGTATAGAATATTGCATGAAATTTTGAATTGAATTGTTCCATTTATTATGACACTTGAAGGTATGAGTAGCAGGGTACCTGTTAAATCAGATTTCATATGGAATTGAGATTAAACAATACATACCCTTTTACTTCTTTGACATCTACTATCTAGACCGCTTATGCCATAAGACAACGGTCATTCATTCACGAGAGATCTGGAGACCATGAGCATGCGCATTCAGCATCGGTCCTGTTACACTCATGTATTAGAGACGCATAGGCTTATCGTGATGAAAACATTGGAGGTTTTAGTTTGGTAGATTGAGAAATTAATAGAATATGCCGAAGTCATGTCAAAGCTTTAAAATACTGAAAATTAATGACTTCATTTCAAAAAACGATACGTTTCACATAACATTGCTCTGTGAGAGTAATCAATTCATAACATTCTTGTTTCAAGCTAAAAGAGAATAGTTTACCGGATGATACAGACTCATGGTATACCCCCTTTTTCTCATTTGATTTTCTAGCTATTTTTCTGAAACTTGGAACATCGAATATGCTCACTAGAGGGCACATTCCCACATTTGAGGATTTTTTTTCATCTTCCGGTTTTCTTAGGAATGACATCAACTTTCGATTTTCAAATAGAACACCCTATATTTTATTATATAATTGGTAAGACCATATTATAATGAATTCAATGATACTGATATTCCATGAGTGTGACAGATAGAAGATTCGATATTGCGCCGTCACACCCATTGGTCATATGGAAATTTCGAAGGCAAATATCTTAATCGTTTGAAATAACCCCGTCAAACTCGGTATCGTTGAATTTCCTATGATAATCTCTAACCAATTATGGAAAAAAATATAGGGTGTTCCATTTGAAAATCGAAAATTGATGTCATTTCCGGAAGATGAAAAAAATTTCCTAAAATGTGAGAAAGTGCCCTCTAGTGATCATGTTCTATGTTCCAAATTTCAGAAATATAGCTATAAAAACAAAAGTGGAAAGAGGGGTATACAATGAGTTTGTGTCACCCGGCATACATATTCTACTACATACTAATATCTACAAATATGTGTATACAGGGTGTTTTCCAATTAAATACATCACATTTAAACCCTAACAAGGTTCAAGATGAACTATCAAATGGTACAATTGTAAAAAATGAAGTGATGAAAATAAGATTTGATGATGAGATACCAAATGTTCAGAAGAAAATATTTCAAGAAAACTCGTAAAGCTGTGACGAAATCGAGTAAATATAATGATGGAATTGATCATTATTGAGCATGGAAAGTAATACGGTTAGGTCAAAACAGAGGCACGTTGAAATTTGTCCAAAATCACTGAAATAAAAACAAATACCAAAATCACTTCTACCCGCCTACTAAAAGGCATCTGCTAGTCTTCACCTCAATGGTTTGAGGAGAACCTTGAGATAACCGAAATAGAATAGAAAATGCAAACATTTCAAAGTCTACTCATCCCAGAAGCACTTGAATCACACATGAGATCGAAAGCTCAACAGATATACTACAAAACTTTAGGATCAGAAGTCTTCCCTTCATTTTCACATCGCAACACTGAACACTTCATTCTTTATCAGAAAAAACTACTACTTCATGGGTGCGTTCGATGATTAACTCTCGAGAGTAGAGTTAGATTAGTTGAAGGTTTTATCAGTTTACTCTTAGTTGATTACTATTTCATGTAGTATTCGAATGGAATTTTCAGTTAGTTTAATGGTTAACTGACTTCTAAGATTTGACATGAACATGTGGGTTATGTTTGTCAAGTTGCAAGTTTAGTTTAGTCTGAGTGTTCAGTCTGTTCAGTTCATGCAATGGGATTCTTAAAGGGGTTGATCTTATATTCCAGTTGCAAATAAATAATGTTGAATGCCGCTTATCAATGTTGAAATCATGCACTGGGTACTGGCTATAGGTTCTAATAAAGCATAAATACAATAAACCTCAATAAACATGTGATTGTATTGATGATTGAATACTTTGTTATCAGATTTGTCGACCTTAACAGAACCCCATCCTCAATGTCACTCTGAAGATTTCATGATATTTTTTCAACATCAAAATATGACGCTACTCATTTAAATCACATCTGTGCCTTCAATGATGTTGAAAAATGTACTTATCGTGTTTTGATCGATTGAGGATGTAAAAAAATCATGAACTGCGTTTCAAATGGACCTAGCCTAACTTGAAACATCAAAACAAACTTTTTCATCCATGTTCGTCCTGTAATAACTGTATCAAATCAAATTTGCTCCTGAACTATACGGAGCTCTGATTAATTATACGACATATTATGCAGTGGTTCCTTTTGTCATTTGCTCTACTGATAAAAGCAAATTGAAAAATGAATTATAAAAATATCTCACCTTTGGAATTGCCTGATAACGAATTCTTACACTAGAAAACATAGCACCTAATTTCGCCAAGAACAACAAAACGAAACAATTATCAAAGCACATTCATTATCACTTCACTCAATATTTGTAAGCCGACGCCTATGAGCTAAATGGTTACTCGCCTAATTTCCATATCCTGTCAAAATCATTAATGACAGTTTCAATTTTTCTGCACATTCAGCACAAGCTTTTCCAGGCTAGCAATTCGAATGCGATCTTCGGGTTACTGGGATATGTCATTAGCAGTCTAGATAGTAGTTATATCGGTGTCTCAACTTGATACAGAAAAACGACTTTGCTAATATCTCAAATATTATTAGCGATGGAAGATCATTGGGTAGATCATCGCGCCGAAAGGCTGTTCTTGAAGCGAGGAAAACACGGGAATATGCTGCCCTCAACCAGGAAACAAACATGAACCAAATCCTAATTCCTAGGACACAGCGTGTCGATACCAAACAGTGTCAACCGATGAATCGAGACACTTTCGCCACTATACTTATCGAGAAATTGGAGGCCGTCAAAAGACATCAGGATCAACAGGAACTGTTGGATAGGAAACTGAAAGAGGTAATAATTTGAAATCAGTTTATTTGTACGGAAAATTGATTCTGATTCATATTGAAATGCTTTTTTTTTAATTTCCTGTATCGGTTCATGATGTTGAAGTTTGATGATATTATTAATGTCTGAGGCAATGGTAGCATTGCAGAAAACTTAATAATTTTGGTTGGTGCCAATAAGCAGAGTTCATATTTTCAATGATTCAATCGTTCATTAATGGTTAGAATCTTTCGTTTCAGTCTTGGGCGTTTGGAGAAAAAATAGCTTATTTTAGTTATTTTACATGGAGTTGGAAAGTCCTTTTTTGCCTTCGATTCCCAGACACGCTAAGAGGGAGCATGATTTCAAATTACCACCACCGAAATAAATTCGAGGACATTCAGCTATTCTTCTTATAAATAATGATAAACACTGTCAGAATATTATTTCGTTCGCGAATCGATAAGAATTTGTTTCAATAACAAATTATTCGATTGAAGGTAGTGCAATTCTTCAATGTTGTATGAACAAGATGAATACCTTAATGATTTAACCAACAGTTCAATGAAGAAATGCTACAAAAGCAGATTGAATATGACTGTCAATACATGTTTGTCAAGTCATAAAAATCAACGTGTCTGAGCATTTTGTCATCAGATCATTTGGTTGAAGATTTCTTCGTGGTGGTACGCCTTCCGGTAATACTAAAATAATAAAATTCAACTTTTACTCAGTCACATATTTCAAACAAACATGTTGATTATTTGTTACACTGTTGGCTGTATATTAACATCATTTTACATTCATAAAATCAATTGTAAAATCAAAACTAAATTCATCTAACTGATATTCTCCGAACGTAAAACGAAAGTGTAGGATTACTTGATATTGTTCCCAAGTCTTATCAGCTATGCTCGGGAGTTACGAAGGCTGTGGCAAAGCCCTGCTAATTAGAACTGAGACATTCTGTATATTCTTCTCTGTCTTCACTTGATCATTGTTTCAGAGTGAATCGATGAATTCGATGAACGATATCCAATCTCGAGAACTAGCAAATGCCATCAAAGAGAAATTACAGCTAGAAGACGATAATGACCAGGATATACTGGATCAACATGTTTCGAGAGTATTTTCTGACCTAACTCCAGCTAGGACACCAGGGCTATCAAGTCCAAGACCTCATTCACCCCCAAGAAACAGGTAATTATTCTTTTTTAAGCAATTATTAATTTCATCCTTGTTTCATGTGATATTAAAACTTGAAACTTTACAGACACGTTCAGAGTTCGTATATGAGACCAAAGAGGAAGGAAAAAGATGGTTTTTCTACTTTCAGTGGAGATTCTGGAAATGTTCATGACTTTGCTGATGGTTCTGAACATAAGTTGGCGATGGTGAAATCAAAGAGTATGCCCGAATACGCCGAGGAGAGATTTGTCAGAGGAACTTCAGGCAGACGGTATGTTTTTGTTAACACATTGTCATTTTGCCCAGTAGTATGACAATTTCAAAGTGCCTTCAGAAATTTTCGGCTGGAAACGGCTAACTCAATTTTTCTGGTAGTAACTAAGTGCAAATTAGTAGAAAATCTGGAAAATATGTTATTCCTTATTAGTTAACTAATTTGTAAATAATTCACTTTTCAAATGAGAATCTAGTTCTTTTGACTCACTTGTATTGTAATAATTGAAGTGAGAAATTGTTTCTTGACACAATCTAATGACTTATTCCACAACTCGCAAAAAAATCATGAACATGAGATAAGTCATCTAGTCGTCGCTACATCGTCGTTTACCCTGAAGGATCCGGTTCTGGAGATGGTAATGATTCAGATGGAGCAGATGAAGTTAGCTCCAGGGTACTTTCATCCTGTATCTGGTGGGATGCGAGAGAATTTTTTTTTCTCCGCTAACGAATAACAAGCGGCGGGTCTGAAACACATTATTCTACCTAGTTGATGTAGATATACCTAAGTACTGTGACAAATTTAAAATCAAGTTGAACGCTAACGAATGCAATAACTCACAAGGCCAGGACTCCTGCATATCAGGTAGTGTAGTTTGTTTCTTTTATAAATGCTAGATTATGAATTATCTACGAGAGACGAGGCCTACTTTTTGCAAAATACGCAAATTTGGTCTATTTTCAACTTGCTCTAGCTCCTCACCCATTTGTCCTAAATCCATGAGCATGAACAATTATAATTAGAAAATTCATTCTACTTCCTCTTTTTTTTTGAGAAAAATACTTTATTAAAACAAATAAACCTTTTCAGACTATAACAATTAATAGTACCTCAACTCGCCGTCTTACATACTAAGTATTGATTGCATTCATATAACTCATCAATTCTCTTTTGAAAGATTCATAACTATCTTTGTTTTTGATAAAATTTGGTAGAGTATTATAAGTTTGAATACATTTGGATATTGGGTCATTCAGGGCCACATTAGTTTTTACTTGAGTTAGATATATTTGATTGTTTGCCCTGGTATAGTGATTGTGAACTTGGTTTACTAAATTCATTGGTGTATTACTTTTTTGCTGATTTTTCGAGACTTTATATATATATTTGCATTGTTATATTTTGGTATGGTCTTTTCGGTAAAATATATAGTTTCCTAGCTACGGGGAAAAAACTGAAAAAAGTACGAAACTTTCGCTGTTTATTGCGAATATGTCGGAACGCTCCAGGAAATTTTGTGTGCCAACTTCAGATTCATATTCAGCACCCCCAAAAACAAATGAAACCGTAGAGAAACCGTAGAGAAACCGACTACTTGAATATTTTCCACGTGCAAATACCATTTTATTGGACTAATGTGGCAGTGCATCATCATGGGATAGCAAAAAACGCAATGTTGGGCTATACCGACAAACAAATCCCAGGGACTGACATATCTGCTAGAATTCAGTAATCTTTAATAACGATGTGTCTGTCACTCCGACAATTACAAACTAATTTGTGTTAGGATTGGCATGACAATAGTGATTATTGTTCCCCATATTATATCATGCCAAGTCTATAGGGGATATTCATAATAATCCTTTATTTTTCAATATTTCCCAATTTTTACAATGAATAGTACAATTTGATAGATGATTCTGAATAAACTTATTCTATGCTACAACAGACAAGCTTAAAGTTTCATATTCCATCACCAACCACTTCTATTTTGCAATAATATCATATCATTGTTGTTCCCGCACTAGTATGGGAAAAATTTTCCCGTACTGTTGCGGGAAAATGACACTTCCATACTGAATTGCGTACGGGCGTGTATAGGGTGAATCACGCACGCTTGTAGAAAAATAGTTATTTATTATACAAGGGAAAAAAGTAGTAGATTTTAGCTCAAGGTTGTATTTTCTCCCGACGCGTAGCGAAAGAAGACAGAAAATCGTGTGCTAAAATCTAATTTTTCCGTGTATAAAACACATTTTTTTCGGACGAATATTGAGAAGATATTGCATTATATTAAGAGAGAAACGAAAATTATCGACGTGAAGTTTTTGAAGTGCATTTTATTGAAATACATGAAGTTGGATGTGGCCCGAATACAATGACATTCCGATGCTTGATAGGTAGGTATTGAGAAATCCGAGTTAGCTTTGGTCATTCTTGAGTTATTTGAGAAAAACTGAAATTTTGTATTTTTGTTTTGTTCGAATATCTCGGAAACTATTGGTTTTATGAAAAAATTATTTCAACATTCTCATAGCACTTTTTGGTGTTCTTTTCAATGGTTTTGCCAGTTTTTCATCAAAATGTCAAATTTGTGAGATATCCCCTACAACTTCAATTTTTCTTATGGACGCTATATTGGATTTTAACAGATTTGAAATCAGCATGAAATTTCCTTTCTGGTGATGTTTTATTTTATTTGGGGTACTGATTTCTCATTTTTGTTTTTATGTCCAGTAGGCTATGAATTCTGTAACTAATAAATAATACTCGAAGTTATCTCCACTACAATTCGTGATGTTGTGTTATTAGTTACTACTTCACTCCACCATGACTTTTAGATTATGGAATCTGTGTTCTATGTTCTTGCATAACTTAACAGGTGGATAATACAAATACTAAAAAAAATTAGTTGAATCTAGAAATGGTCCCCATTGTTCTCGATACATTTTAATATTCGCGAGCGAACATGATTCGCTGCTTTTCTCAGATGAACTCTGTTGATGTGCTGGAATGTGTCCATCACTCTCTAGTAGATCATCAATATCTTGAATTGGCTCTTCATAAATTTTATTTTTGGCGTAGCCCCACAGGTAAAAATCGAGAGGCGTACAATCAGGCGATCTTGGAGGCCATCTAACAGGTCCATGAGTAGTAATTAATTTAGCATCAAATTGATTTTCGAGATATCGATATCGATTTTTTCACACTGGTTGACGGACCAGTGACAAAACTCGAGACGACGTTCATTATCACCAGGTCTTAACCCTTGTACTGTCACTGGTTTTTGTGAACGGCATTGTTTGCCCCGAAATAATTAATTTATATTTTCTCTTGACGTTTACCGAAAAGTCACTTGGCTCCAAGCCAACTCTATGAAAGTTGTGCCAGAACACATAATCGTCATTGTTTATAGAGAGTTTAGCGCATAGCCTACTGGACATAAAAACAAAAATTGGAAATCAGTACTTATGCGATAAAACTGTGACTGTGATACATCACTAGAAAGGAAATTTTATGCTGATTTCTAATCTGTGAAAATCCAATATGGCTTCCATAAGAAAAACCGAAGTTGTAGGTGATATCTCAGAAATTTGACATTATGATGGAAAACTGACAAAACCATTGAAAATAACACCAAAAATTGCTATGAGAATTATGAAGTCATTTTTTCATAAAATCAATATTTTCCGAGATATTCGAGAACAACAAAAATACAAGATTTCATTTTTTCTCAAATAACTCAAGAATGACTGAAGCTAGCCTGGATTTCTTGATATCTTCCGATTTAACATTAGATTTGCTACAACTTTGCTAATTTATGCGTTTCTCTATCTCTCATAGTTACTGAGATCCCAATGGTGAGGATCGAATTTCGGACACACTGTATTTATGCTTTCATAAATCATCACAATTTCCTTCCAGATCGTCGAAGAAGGCGCTCACCGACCTCACCGACAGCGGCGTATCGGTCGTGTCGGACACGATCCCGCCTTCGGCGCCGCCCCTCGTCAAGGACAACCGCGTGCTCGCCTGGCTGCTCGAGTCCGACAAGAGCGGCCGCGGCGCCGGTCACACGCACAGCGAGATGTCGATGTCGGGGCGGCCGCCTCCGCCCGCGGACAAGGCGGGCAGGCGGCGCGGCCGAGGATTCGGCGAGCGGGCGAGCTCGCTGGAGCGAGGCCCCGCCCAGCCGTTCGTCGCCGATCCGAGCATGCCGCCGCTGCCGTCGCCGAATATCGGGGTGCAGCTGGAGGAGGCAAGACGGCGGCTGTTGGAGGAGGATGTGAGGAGTAGGCCGAAGCAGAGGTGAGTAAAGTAGAGTTTACATGAGTGTCTGACTGTTCAATATTAGGGTCCCTTGATGTCAATTGACGTATTTGTCATCTTAACCTCTCAACCGGTGAAGGTGATGTATGACTGATGCACCCACTCTGGGCGGCAAAATTGTCGTATGCGAATTACTAGCCCCATGGAAATAATTCAAATGCATCGATTATTTCAAATCCCAATAACTCGAAAACAGTTGCTCGCAGCGACCTCTACCAGAAATATATTTTTTACACAAAAGTATTCTAGAAATCTATTTTTCTACGATAAAACGTGATACAGGTAGGCATGAAAAAGTAATGATTTTTCAAATGACTCAAAAGACATGTAGGTGGATCCACCCCCACGAAAGAGACAAACCAACATCAAATTTGATAGTGTCATTGAAAAATACCCCTAGATACCAAACTCGATTCGAATATCACAATTATTTCAAAATTTATTAACAAAAAAACAAAAATAAGCATTCAACTTTGACACTCTGTATCTCAGAAACGAAGAACTTTCGGACATATTTCTACACGAACTTTTCTTCTTATTTTGACGTCAGCAACATGCTCCTGAATTTTCTACTCGTACTTAGGAAACACCCTGTATATCCGTCATATTCGAATGAGTTAATTTTAGCGTATATGTTCGTCTTGATCAGTATAAGGGACGGTTAAAGCAGAATTACATGAGATATTTCGAACATTTTTAATTAAATAAACTCATCGTTGGCATATTCTTAGAGACTTTGATGATCACAGTTTACTTGGTATGGTAATCTCTGAAACAAGGAGCTGGACAAAGTCTAGTTCTGCAATCCAAGCACCAGTATCTGGATTCTTTCCTCACTCCCCTCTGTGAACATAGAACACACCGTTTTGTTGGTTTTTCCTTATATGCTGTTGGAGGGATGATGGCTGGAAAGTGCCGTTCTGAAAGCCGACTAGGATTATCTGTTCTTGAACGCCTTATTGGATTACTCATGGGCTCACTGATAAATCATAATCACTATCCAATGAACTGATTGACAAAAGGCTATCACCATCTGGCAATTCACTATCTTCAGAATCACTCTCTATAGCTATTATCTCTCTTTTAGACATCGTAATGCACCTACCGAACGTTCACTGCTGACTGTACAAACAAAAATGAATCGGAAAAATAAATTGTTCACACCAAATTCTTCAGTGAAGAGTGGGGATTCCCGTGATTTTTCGCTAGCGAACTTATACGTGTTATCCATGAAGAGGACAAACAAAAATCCGTCGGCGAATATATTCATCATACTCGTAGTGCAACGATTACTAGTTAGTGGATATAATCGTCTTATGCGCTCAAGAGGTTAACAGGGTACAGACAGATCATCGTCTCCTCTCACTCTAAAGTTTTTGTGAAACAGCTATATAGTTCCATCTTTATTCATTTCTGGGGATAAACACTATATTTCTGACATTTGTTGTTTTTTAGGTTAGATTGAGGACACCGGCGTATCACACGTAATTTCCACATGTAATTTCTCATTCAACTCTACATATTACAAATGATTCTGATTTATCAACTCCAGCATAATCTTTGTGAAGCAGTGAGCAAATGTTTCTGAAAGTTTAATACAATTTACCAAATGGGACTGTTCTTAGGCAGTACTTACCAATAAATGAATTTTGATTTCAGACTAAGCCTTATGGTTGAGAGATGGTGAAAAATTGTATGTAGGTATTAAAACTAATGTGCTCATATGTCATGTGTGCTGTATATATTCATGTTGGGAATCAGTTTTGCAGTTTTTCACCAACAAATGATATTTCCTGAATGTAGGTATAATTTTTTAAATGGTAGGGCATATGCCTCTTCTTTTAATCCTCTGTTTTAATCAAAACTGTTTCCACTAAAATGCATTCAAATACTTGTGGAGTGGATAATCATAGGCAGAATGAGAAAGTATAATATGTGATTTCATATTAGTTGTACCTCGAATATTTTGCTGATGTATTTACCAATTTTCCCCATTTGGTCAAATTCAAATTTGCAATCCAACTGATTGGTACAGACTAACGCAGCACATTTTACCATCCTTCCAAAACAGAATTGAATAATGTCATATAAGATAATGTATGAACTTGAAATTTTGTAAGATTTCTTTCAACACCTATGAATGTGACGTGACAGCAATGTCATGTCAGGGACGCCAATACACGAAACCAAAGTCACTAGATGATTAAAAGAGAAAGGAGCTATGATCTGTCCGTACCCTGTTAGATGACAAATACGTCAGTTTGCATCAAGGGACCCTGTTCAATATCACTAAAAGGGAAATACAATGATTGAAAATAACATAGTTGCATGCATATTATGTAAGCGTACCTCTATGGATTTATCCTTTCTTGAGGGACAAAGGGACATTTACTTAGTTTCCAGAGGTTATTTCACCTGCATCCGGAGGTATAAAACTGAAGTCTGAAATGGAATAATAACATATTTTAAGGGTGCCAGCTTTGTTTATTCATGAAGCTATTAAATTCCGTAACAAACACGAATATCACTCCAACATTCACAAAACGAGTCATAAACATAGCACGAAACTAAACAACAACTATAGTTACCCAATAAACAAAAAATGTATTTTCAAAACAAGTCCACTTTATAACGCAATTAAAATTCTATAACAACGTTCCACTTGAGATAAAGTCTATGCAAAATACCAAACAGTTCCTTGGCTTGATTTGGAATTACCTACTAAATGACAATATGTAACATGAAAAAATATACAGGCTGATTTTAAAATAAGTGCATATATTTTAAACACTAAGAAAGCTTGAGGTATACTACCGAATAGCACTATTGAAAATATTATTAGGATCAAAATAGATTTGGGGCAAAATACCCTTTTTCCGCCCAGATTTCTACTTCTGTCACAACTATCGTTTGCGATCCGCAGTCGACCGTGATGAACGAAGCGACGTTGCCACTCTACATGACAATTAGGAGATATTAAATAAAATGTATAATCGAGAAAATGTACATGGGGAAGAAGTTAACCCTGGTCTTGAATTTCAGAAAGATAATACAAAAACTTAATGGACTCACCCAAGATTTGTACACATAAGCTAGAAAAGCGTATATCTTAACACCTCCCCTTGGAAGTTCTTTTACTGAAAAATCCTTTAGACCCTTCCTTCCACCTCCTTGCATCGCTACAATTTCGTGTCATTCGAGGAGTCTCATGGGCCCCGCACAATAACGACCCGACATAAGAACCATATCATTCAGCTCAATGTTTGAGAAATGCATCGTCACTTTCCAAGCAAATTGTCAGAAACAAAACTTTACATTTACTAGTCAGTGTTGTTCCTGGGTCTGATTTTTTCGTAATAGATTTCCTTGGAAAAAGGTATCAGATTTGTATAAAAAGGTAATAGACTCGAAAAATCTGACATTTGACATTCGGAATGTCATTCTTGTCAAACCCTATCGCACTAATCACAGTTTTGACATAAATATAGAACATAGAACGGAACATAATTATCCGCTGAGCACAGAAATAGATTTTTTAGTATTGAAACATATTTTGGTGCTAATAGCAAATAGTAATAGATTCATGACAAATCGTAATATCGTAACAATCTTCGTGAAATAGTAATAGAACGCGAACAATCCTAGTTAGTACTGTCAAAGGTCACAGCAAAGAGGAAATCTATGGTCACAGATAGTCAGATACTGCTGTTTTGAGAAATGATGTTGACAGATCATATGATATTCTAATAGTTTTGTTTGTGTGGGCTGGTTTGTAAAATAATTGTAAACGTAAAATATAGTTATTTATTATACAAGGGAAAAAAGTAGTAGATTTTAGCTCCAGGTTGTGTTGTCTCCCGACGCTTAGCGGAGGGAGACAACAAACCGTGAGCTAAAATCTAATATTTTTCCCGTGTATAATACACTATTTTTTTCTGTGACAGAAGAAAGGACGAATCAATATTGAGAAGATATTACATTATTTTGATATCTGAAAATTATCGACGTGAAATTTTAAGTTTTTAACAGTAGGGACACCGCGTTGTAGGCATCTTTATAATTCATTTGAAGTAATCAAATATCTGATGTCACTTCTGTCAGTCTAATGTTGTGATTTTCAAGAAATTGCGAATTCAGTGGTTATTTAGCAATATATACGTAACTGCGAAGTCGAATGGAAGATAAAAGGACTTGCAGGTCTTTCTCGGAGACGGTATTATTGACTCATTTTTGAACTATAGCACAACAAAAGCCATCAACAGTGTATATAAATGTGATATATATCCGGGAAAGAAGTACTCACTTTTTTCCCACGGGAAAAAAGTGATTTATGAAAAGTGACATTTTATAACCTGCCAACAGGGATGAAATGCCAAACTTTTTTCCCGTCACAGAAAAAAAAAATAAAATAATTGGATGGAATGGACTCGATATTAGTATTTGTTTGCTCTCGGGAGTTTTGCTGTTCGAGCAGGTATGAGAAAATCTACTAGGTGAGTCGATTTTCAACTTTGTGTATGTTGTGTACCTATTTATTGTCTGCTAATTTTGTATCTACCCGCTGGGGCCTTGTTTTCGAATTGGAGGAAGGGGGACGTTCTATCATTCCCCTCATGTTTCTCTCCGTCTCTCATGATCCATGGGGATAATCACCCCACAGTTCTCTCAGTAAACTATAAAAAAAAAGGCTCCTGTACATATTACCTTCACCTCTATTAGTTTCCATAACCTATTCCAATTCATATTCATTCTGTGACAAATTTTTATCAGGATATTCGTCTCTGAAACAATCTGGCATCTCTGTCTTGTTTTCACGTTAGTGAATGACGAATTGGAGATTCCCTGGATTTCCGCAGATTTCACTTGCTTCCCAGTGGCGTACTCGAATTTTGAAGCATTTTATGTTCAATTTTCAAAATGAAATTTCTCGTTAATGTGAAGACTTAGGAAAAATCAAATATTTTAGTAATTTTTGTTAGACTCTCTCATATATATGTCTTGAATATATGCACTCATTTTAAAATCAGCCTGTAGATAGGTTAAAGGTAGAATCAAGGTGAAGTTGAATTATTTGATATATCACGAATATTTGAAATGATTTCTTGTTCATTGAGCAATTTTCATCTATACTAATATTATAAGAAGAAAAGATTTGTTCCATGTATATGATAGGCTCCGAAACTACTGGACCGATTTGAAGCTGACATTATCCCTCATGAACATAGGCTACTTTTTACCGCGGGAAAATGTTTCTTTCCTACGGGAAAACGTAATAGGATAGCGGAAAGCGGGTAGTAAAAGTTATCCTTCCGTACTTATCTTTTTCACAAAACTTCTAAACTGCTGAACCGTTTAGGTTGAAATTTTATGTGGATATTTCGTTGGTTTCCTAGATGATTTAAAAATACAATTGGACGCGGTAGGTGGCGCTGCTATTGGCACGTCAACTAGTAAAGGGCTTGACCGATTGGGTTGAAATTGTTAATACGTCAAACAAAAAAATAAAATAGATACTGAGAGAATGAAAATAGGTGGTAGCTATAGGTAAGCACACAAAATTAAAAAAAAAATACAAAAATATATGTATTGTAGATACTCACCATGCAAAGCCGGACAGGACACCTTTTTTTTTCATAAAACATTTCTAAAAAACATCTTGATATATATTATAGAGATGATATAAAAAAACCATAGGATGTCCAGTATCATTAAATGTTGAGATAGAGTGCATACCTTTTGTCTTACACAAATATCACCTTTATGATATGTAATTCTTGATTTCAAATTCTTTGATGTCCAATATATTATTACTCCTTTTTGATGCGCTTGTGAGGTCATGGTTTGAATATGGCTGCGTTGTCTGGAATCCTGGATACATCACGTATAGTGATAGTTTGGAGAACATTCATTTGCCATTTCTGTAGTACATCAGTTTCAGATGTGATGGCTCTTATCCGATGCGGGGTGTACCGCACGATACACTTCTTTCTAGATTTCAAGTCAACTCCCTAGAAGAACGTCGTACATATTTGGGAATTTTATTTTTACACAAGATCTTAGTCTCGCGTTCTCGCGTATTGACTGCCCATACCTGCTTGCACGTATTAATTTGCACGTTCCTAGGCTACCTGTACGCAGTTTCACCACGTTTCACCTGCCAGTCGTTCAAACAAATGTTCTTCCTTTTTCGCCTCTGTGTAAAATATGTCGTGATTACTTGTCAATTCAGAACAGAATAGATATTTTTTCCTGCAAACCTATAGACATCAAAAGGGCTACTTTACCATAATATGTTGTTGTTTAAACACTGTTTGTAGCGCTCTGTATGAACTTTTTTCTCACCATAGTTTTTTTCAGTTCATACACATCGTTATGCAGTGTGTCATTTATTTTATGTTTATATCTTTATTTCCTTATCTCTGTTTTGTTTTTTGTTACAATACATATCCACACAGATTTTGGACCAAAATTGTTATTTTCCCATTCTGTAATTGGCCACGGCTGTTGAATTGGTGTACCGCTAGAATAAATAAATAAATAAATAAATAAATAAATAAAAAATATTTATTTCATTGATAATTCATCTCATGTACTACACCAGCCTTATTTACTCTGATTGCTCTGAACCTTTGCAAACACTTTCTCAAGTGGTATACTACCTTTCACTCCACGTAGAGCAATCTGTTTATCAATTCATTAAAATTGATTTCATCATCTTATAGGTCTTCTTCAAGTAGGTATTATCCGGATATGGCCCAAAGTAGCCAGTCAACTTTGAGAAAGTCGATGCGAGTGTCCCGACCGAGTATGTCTGCGCCAGTCGGAGCAGATGAAGTAACGACCGTTGTGTTCAACTTTTGCGAAGAACAATTCCCGTATAGAACGAAAATCCCAGGTACCCAAGTCACTTTGAGGCAGTTCAAGGAGTATCTACCAAAAAAAGGAAACTACAGGTATGTCATTTCTCTTTTTGCTCATATGAAGTACGAAAATTATAATATTTGAAATTGTAGTTTTGACGTCTCATTATTGGTGATTTATCAGAAAACTATAGTTTCTTGTATGTTTGCTTTATTTATGCACCATGGTAATGAGTGACACATTCTATTTAGGTACCATCCATAACTGAGTAAATTACAAAAGTGTCACACATTTAGATGATTCATATAACAGTAAACAAAGAACTACAAAATACACATATTCAGTGTATTACATATATTTTACTTTCCTTGAATCACATGAGTCACTTTTATTTTCAATTTCAAATCATCCATAATTTTTAGGTATTTTTTCAAGACAGTATGTGAAGAACTTGGCAACCAAGTTATTCAGGAGGAAGTCAGTAATGATTCAGAGGTACTTCCATTGTGGGAAGGGAAAATAATGGCTCAGGTGAAGCCAATCGACTGAGTTCTTACATTTTTCAGTTTATTTGGAAAAATGTATGAATGTATTCAAAACATTTATTTAATTGTCAATTCTTAATTTTATGCAGATAATTTATTTTTCTTTGTTGTTGAATGTATTTTGTTTTTATGAGAAGGAGAAATACAGAATATTTTTGTATAGTTAGGGTTTACAATACAAATGTAAAAGCAGCAAATTTTATGATTTATTTTGAATATAATCGTTTTCGAGGAATGAAATCTATTCTTGTTTTGCATAAATAAACCCAAACTGAGTTATTTGAAGAGGGATATTCTCGCATGTATATGCCTAACATTGAACCCAACAGAAATTATGTCCAGAAAATAATTGTCTAGTTTTGAAAAATTATAATATTTTTATTTGTATGATCAGTCCATGGATATTTTTGGAATTTGGATTCAATAAAATTATAATTCAACACAAATTGTATCACCCATCGGGACATTTCTTAAAATTCCTATTCATGGTCGCTGCCGGGTGTCACATATAGGTGACAGAAGGGTATGAACGTAAGTTATATGAACTTCTTATTCTATCTGTCTGTGCTGTTGTTCTGTTCAAGGTAGTATGATCTACTAGTAGGCCTGGCACACTTTCAGCTAACATTTATAGATTGTACGGTGTTTCGTTTTTTATATGTGATGGATACACCAATATCCTGGCTAACATTTTCTTTTGTGCATCGAACTTTTTTACAAACAATCACATATGAACAATTTGTTTTCATCTATAATATTCTCATGTCTTGAATGAAGCTGAGTTAGTTGAAACTCTTGCTTCTGATGAATTATGGTCGATAGACCAGCGTCACAAATATGTGACAGCAGGAGAAACAGTGTTATTCATGTTGCTGAAAGTATATGTATCATATGATTAGCATCAATTCATCATACAACTAAACAGTTACAACAGAACTCACAGTATTTAGCGGAAACAAACAAATTACCTCTCTGGTCTGTGGTGTCTGTTTGCTTGATTGCTCCTGGTAGCGAACCTGTTCAATTTGTTATATACTATCAAAACTTGAATTTTCGAGAAACAAAAATATTCTCTTCTCTGAAAACATTTTCAGAGGTTTTTACTTAAACATGGTGTAAGTTTCAGATTTTTTGTAAAAAGTAGTGTTGTCTTTTGCATATAATTTATTTATTGTTATTTTTAAGAAATAGTAATATTTTTTTAAATTGTTGAAAAAATATGATAACAACGATTTTTGTATAATAGTATTTTGTAATTAGACTTAGAAATTATGGAGGGAAATAGTAAGTACTAAAAAGGCAATAATAACATTTTTGTACATAAAAATCACCTTGTATGAAAATTAATGCTCTCTGAAAAAAGATACTTTATTCTTAGTCCGATTTGATCCCAGTATTATTTTTGATGCATTTGACGTTTTTGAATACTTAGAAGACATTAGAAATCTCTGCCTGATGAAAACTCGTTTAATTGAAACAAGAAGTTATATCTTTCACACATGTACATTTTCTGACTGGCAAATTCTACAGTGCCTTCTTGTTCTAGTTTATTTTTGGTATAGAAAGCAAATGGATCTCTAGTAATTTTCAAAAGATATAAAATCCAAGACCACAATTCGAGGGATATTAATGTTCTTATGACTGAAAAAATATACAGAAGATTTCGGAACATACTAACTTATGAAGAACAATCATGGTTAAAAACCAGAACGCTCCTATATCGAGAAAAAAGAAGGAACATGTGATTTCCACTCCTAATTTTGTTGCTGGGTTGATTACCGCAAGGTTCAATTATTCATAATAGATGGTTTCTGTTTTCAGCTGTGAAAATGTTCTGTAATAAATATCTATTTGTTTTACTAGGCAGCAAAGTACAAGATTCAATGTGGTGGCTGGCGTTTCATAGCCAAGGCGTAGCCGAGGTTTTTCCAAATTCGTTCCAATTTCACACAAAGTCCAAATAATCCATCATTTCACTGTCAAATTTGAATACCAATTTGATTCAAAATAATACTATAAGATTGCATTGCAACAAACTTTTTCTGCGTAGGTAGTAAAAGTACACCTTTTATATGCCTATTGAGTGTAATTTCTGTGACTCATGACAGCATATGACAAGTCGTTATTGATAAATACCTAGTAGATTCCAGTGCAATTTCTGTGAATATCAGATCAGAACAGTGAATTCGGGTTGATTGGCTAGTGGTTCATAAAATGACGAAAACTACCTTGGTAGTAAAAACACACTTGATGCCTTCAAAAGTAATAAATTATGGTAGGTTCTATAGCTAGTGGTGAAAATTCATTATGAGTTTTATAAAGGACTCATTCATAACTTTTTTCGGTTACTCAACCGAAAAGATACTTATAATGATGAAGATGGAAAAGCCCTAATTTCGAGTGACAATGGAAAATGAGAAAACTCCATCGCCCCGTGTGAGAGTCGAACTCACAAACCCTGCCGCCTGGTGTGTGATGAGAACTCGACCTCCCTGCCGATTGATCGACGGATGTCCCGTTAGCTCAATTGGCAGAGCGTTGGGCATGTAACTCAGAGGTAGTGAGTTCGACTCTGACACGGGGCGGTGGAGTTTTTTTCATTTTCCATTGTCACTCGAAATCAGGGCTTTCATCATCTTCATTATTATATGTATCTTTTCGGTCGAGTAACCGACAAAAATTATCACTCACTTCTATGTATAGATCGCTTGCGGACATTTCCGTATACAAGGAAAGACATTGCCAGAGGACGAACCACTGAACTATAACCATACAAATGGAATGCCGATGCATGATATCAATAATACGCTCATTAGAACCTCGCGCAGACATGGCGGATTTAAGGTTGTGAGCATGCGCACTTATATTGAAACCAGGGCCAGTCTTGCCAATGAACGATTATTTCTTGCCCATTGAAGTATGTTGAATTATAATGTATAATAGTGTGCGAATTTACATTTTTCGAAGACTGACAGAATGATGACATTTGAACACAAAATACTTCAGTGTTATTTTGCCGAGCTAAAAATCTAGAGAAGAGAAAATGTCAATTTTTTTGAAATTCTGTCACGATAGTTAATTATTAATTATGGTGGGAAAATAACACCAATTTGTTCATTTTTTGTCGAATTGTCAGCCCTCTCATGAACTCAGTTTGTTGTGTTCCAAGGTGATTCAACTTTATTTTCAAGTACCTATATCTCTACCGTAGGTTTTATCAACCTGAGTTTATGATTTTCTAAAAGTGAATTGTCAAGGACATGATCATAATAGGAAAAACCTTGTTTTCTTTTTCCATTTCGGCACAAGAACATCATGCCGCATCATGCATCCCTGACCCATATTGTCTAAATAATAGTCTTTTAAATGAGAAGTCACCAAAATCACGGTCACAACTCAAAAATATAAACGAACAAAATACCATCCAAATACCATGACACAAACACGATCATGAACAATGAAACAATGGAAATAAAAACCATATGAAAAAGAACAATAATAATGGCGTGGCAGATGATGGGCACAAAAATATCTAAGCCTCTCCTGATGGGAGCATACCTAATCAACGACATACGTCTGCGGTTGTAAGCAATTTCGATAATCACAGACATTCTTTTCATATCTTGGTCCTACTGCGTCGGCGCAGAACCTTAAAGTCATGATCTCCATGGGAGGCGTAAAATATTCACGCGCAGGTAGCTGTATCAGCATTCCATTTGTAGGGTTATAGTTCAGTGGGACGAACGGGGAAATATGGAGACTGTATAGTACCATCCTGCCAGCGATGCTTCGTATAGTGCATGATTTCGAGTGACTTCGGGAATTGGAAGGATTCTGCCGCCTAGTGTGTGATGAGAACTTGACCTCCCTGCCGATTGATCGACGGATGCCCCGTTAGCTCAATAGAGCAGTTCAGCTACCGTTGAGAGAGAAAAAAAATGTCTTCCCATCTGTCCTTGTCTTCAGTGTTCCAACATAAAATAATCAAAATATTATGTTGGCATCATTGGAAATGGGAAAAAATGGAGAAGAATATCATATTAACCTCGATATAAAAGAAGGTTAGAACGGTCTTCTTCTCCATTTCTTCTCATTTCCAGTGTTGGCAACATAAGATTTTCATTATTTCATGTTGGAACACTGAAGACAAGGACAGATGGGAAGACATTTTTTTTCTCTCTCAACGGTAGCTGAACTGCTCTATTGGCAGAGCGTTGGGCATGTAACCCAGAGGTTGTGAGTTCGACTCTCACACGGGCGGTGGAGTTTTTGGAATTCATTATATTTTGAGGAAATCAATGTAGAGGAACTGGGTTGATTTTATTGGGATGTAAAATATTGGTACCTTCTTTCTCTATTCAGTCGAGAACCCATAATAATAACTCATTGACACAGGTCACATGGTCTGGAACATATTATTTTTGAAGATGATAATTACAAAACGAATCGCCGGCAATGATAAAACCATTAAACACTCATTGACTACAGTTTTTTCACTGTCTAAAATAACTGGTGACCTACTTTTTATCCTTTTTGAAACTAGTCCCTGAAGATCCAAAAGACCGAATTTTTTCGGATTGAAATTAAAGAGATATGCTGAATTTATTTCAATTAACAATATTGTGTCTCACTACTAAATCAAGTGAGTGATAATTCATCATATAGTATTTCTAAAAGTTCAGTCAACAGAAAAATCATTACTCTAAAAGTTCAGTCAACAGAAAAATCATTTGCAAAATCCTGCAGGTTTTTCTATTTGATTTTGAAAAAATAATCTGACTAATAGTAATTTATCTTTGTATGCCTTAATTTCCTTACAGATTGGTTAGAGCATATAATTAAGTGCCTTTAATATTCAATTCACAGTAATTCTTCATTACCTACATACTTCCATGGCAGTTACAATAGCTATTTATTTATTTATTTACTTACTGTAGACACAGTTCTTGGAACATCTAGATGAAAATGAAAAATAGACAATTTATAACTCCTTCAACATAGAATGGTAGGTAGTTATTGATACTGCCTGTTTCCTTGAGATTCGAGAGTGAAATCTCCTTACTAGCAGAAGCACAATTTTAAAGAAATGTTTCAACACAAATGTCAATAAACAATTTACAAAACAATTTTTGATTTTTATTTCTATAGCTGAAATTGAACCATAAAATAGGTGAGTCAGGACTAAGCAACCATATAGCTGTATTTATTTAGATGATATATTGTGAAGAAAATATGTTTCAACTTCCTTATAGGAAATGGGTATTAAAATAGTCAAAATAATTACAATAAATAAAATGAAAGTATTATTTGAATTTGGGGTAAAACTTTGAAGAACGATATTTAAAAAAAAACATCTTGATATTGATGATAGTGATATTCTTTCCTTCTGAACTGAAACATTTCGCTTGAACTGTTCAGTTCAGAAATATTTCAGTTACTTATTCAGATTGGAAATAAATTAAAAGTGTAAAAAAAATGATAAATAGTGCAATATGCAAGGGAAAAAAGTAGTAGATTTTAGCTCCAGATTGTGTTGTATCTCGACGCATAGCGGATGGAGACAAAAAACCGTGAGCTAAAATCTAATATTTTTTCCGTGTATAATACACTATTTTTTTCTGTGACAGAAGAAAGGGCGAATCAATCTTGAGAAGATATTACATTCTTTTGAAATCTGAAAATTATCGACGTGAACATTTAAGTTTTTAACAGTAGGGACACCTACGTTGTAGGCATCTTATCATTCTTTTGAAGTAAAAAAAAATATGTTCCTTTATAATTTTACTTATGAACTTATAACCTCATTATACACAATTCATAGGATCATAAAAGCTTGTCACGCGATTTACTTATGTGGATAACACCTTGTCCACTGAGCTATAGGAACCGAATTGATGAAAGATGTGAATAGAAAAATGTCAACATGCACTTTATTAAAGTAGATTGATAATTAGCGTCGAGGCTAGAGAATAATAAGGTGAGTCAGGGTAAACTTTATAAATATTGATACAAGAATAACATCCATATCATATTTTGATATGATTCTGTATATTCTCAGAACATTCTGACAATATGTCGAATTGAATGTTCAAGGAATATTTGTTGCCAGGATGAAAATATTCTATGATCATTCTGAACAGAATATTCTTAAATAAGTATAGGTATGAACGTTGTCAGAATATTCGTAAAATATTCTACGCTGTTTGGGATATTATTGGGAATTATGGACGACACGTCTGGTTATTTTTAATTATGGTGATTAAGTTCTGAGGAGAATAGGAGATCGCCGTTGGTATGGTAACTACCTAATAATGGATTGAACAAAGACGCTGCAAACGCGAATGCGAACAAGAACAACATAATCGAGAAAATTAGAATTCATCGTATTAATCATTCCAGAATTACGTCATTTGACAGGTTGCTGAGGGGCAAACATTGTATTTTGTCAAGATCTGTCATAGAAAACCAGAATTAGTGGGATCGTTTTCCTTGGAATCCGAGTTGGAACCAGAAAGAATTTCATAATTTTGTTTGGTGAAACTGTTATTATATTGTGGATGTGGCAGAGGGACGGCCTGGGCAATGCTCATCAAAGGTAACCTAACAGATAATTTGTGTGCCCCTCAAGAAACCATGTCAATATCACGTGTTCTAGAATGATCAATTATTGTGAATTGTGACGTAAGCATGATGAGTTTTAGTGGGCAAAACAAAGAAATGCCACAGAAGAACAGAAACAAAATACTTCAATGTCCTTCAAAGACCTCTTTGGGATGTTATTTCACGTCTCAAAACCAATATTTTTAAAACATCCCAGGGACACCTCTCAGTAGGCACACAAAGAAATCCTCATGCCAATAACATTTTCAAAACACCCCAGGGATGTTTGTGCTCGCTGGGTTGCTGAGTTTAAATTTTTAAAATTTCAATTTAATTAAATTTTGATCATCGCGACAAGCTTTTATGATCATATAAATTGTGTATAATGAGGTCATAAGTTGATAGAACATTTTATTTTATTCTTTTTAGAGCGTTTAAATAAAAGTTTTTTACTATTTTTTACTTTCGATTTATTTAGTATTTTTTACTCTCAGTGTGGAACTTTACGACCAATTCTTACATTGACGGGGAAGAAGAAGAGGCCAATTGACACGAAAAGATGAAGTATATTTATCAAAAATATCAAATCTACCAACTCTGACCTTACGTTTCAGTGGCGCGATTATGTTCAAATCAGAAACTAATCCATCATCCATAAGCAACTAAACCATTGCAATTTTTAACGGTAACGGTACTGATTGAGTGATTGCGGAATGCGGATCGTTGAGAAATACGTTATGGTAACAAAAATTAACAAATCAAGCCAATCAGAGGTTACATTGACGAAGACTTAACTGAGTAGTGAGTAAGGACTTTAAAACTTAAGAACAAACTGGGTCAACCTATAAAGAGAGACTAGATAGAGAAAAAGAAGAACTTGAAAATTTAAGGTTAGGAAGTTCGAGTTTTGAATTTATTCATTACTTTTCTTTTTCCGAAAATCTTTTGAGAAAATGAGACATGCTAAATTTATTGCTAGAACAGTTTTCGTGCACAATAATGATGTAGAAGCTGCCTGCAAAATTTTGAATAGAATCTTAGGAAGAGAAGATATTTTAGACCAATATCGTAGAACTCGATTTTTCGAAAAACCATTTCAGGTAATGCCAATCCTAGTAATAATTCACAAATAACATAATATTTTTGCTTGTAGTTCAGAAGAAGGATCAATTTCGAGAGATGTAAATCCATTTATAATGAAGATATGGATAGGAAGATTCAGTTTGTTTTAAGGAAGAACAGGATGGATCCTTTTCCGGGCTCATCCTAATATCTGTATGTTATGAAAGAATTCTTTATGATAGGTAGTAATAGATGGTGTTTTTAAAATGCTTACATTTTTATTTTGTTGGAAGAATTAGATGACAAAATGGTGATGGCATAATATGGATTTGAAGCAAATTGGGGACATGCCTATAGAAGCAGGTTCAGATGTGATTTCAGATCTCATCATGATCATGCTCTATCCCAGGGCTATCCAACAACATGTGACCTCAGGGCTGCTTTGAAAAAAAAAATTAGGCATTTCAAAAGGCTGCATTATAAAATACTTCCTATGCAACTTTATCAGTGAGGCCCTCAAAGGAGCCTTACGTTGGACAGCCCTGCTCAGCCCATGATCAGTTTTCATCAAGTTCCAATTCCTAATAAATTGATTATGGCCCTTTTAAAATTGAGATGACTACAAATAATCCTATATCATTAGAGAATTCTATGGAAGTTACACATTATCTATTTCTCTAGATTTTCAGAGAAGCCTGTATTCTTTCAGTATTTAATACCTTGAAACATGCAAAGCCATGGTGAATCCCCCCTCCCCCCAAATAATGACCTTCAGTAGCAGAATTTAGGGATAATAATTGGTTATGGGTGTGAGAATTATATATATGGCTCATTTTTCATTGAATGCACTTGAGAGTTTTATTCAGTGCATTCACTGAACTATACCCTACAAGGGTAGGGTATAGTTCAGTGAGTGCATTGCAGATAGATTGTACAACATATTATTCAGCTTTTGCTTAAAAATAATTCAATTCCAAATGTACCAATGCATAGAGAATCTTTGAGCATCACATTGTCTGCTCTACCTGGTTACTTTATATAAAAAAACCTTGATATAGGTAAATCTCCAGACCATCAGTTCTTGGATAGTGTCTGACCAGGTTAACTTTTGGGACAGCATGTGGTCACTTATACATTAAATATGCATATGCCTTTTGCCTTTAATCAATTGGTGTCCCAAAGTTACCCTTGTTGGACTCTACCTATTTCTTGTTCTCATACTTAGTAGACCTCCTCTAACAGAGGTTAACGGGGTAGCAGTCCTGTCACTGCAATACATTACTAGCCTATAAAACACAGCCGAAAAACTCTGAAAGAGAGCTGATGGATTTTACAGTTTAATTATTAAACCTGATTAGATTCTGAACTGTCACCACATTGTTCAATACATGAGTATTTCAGCGTTATATATCAGCTTTCCTGAAATTTTTATAAAATTCATTATGATTATACCCAGATATTCACGTTCGAAGTTTCCATAAGCTCAATGGGTGTGGGACGGCGCAATATCGAAACTTCTTTCTCTGTCACATGGAAACTTCATATGCGAATATCTTCATTATCTTGTGAAATAAGCCAATCAAAATAATTGTTGAAATCGCTATACTAATCTCTAACCGATTATGGAATAAAATACAAGGTGTTTCATTTGAAAATCGAAAAAAGATTATTAATATGTGAGAAAGTGCCCTCTAGGGAGCATATCCGATGTTCCAAATTCCAGAAATCCATAAGTCATTGTCACCTGGTATAGGAAAAGTCTTGAAATCTAATGAGTAGACGGTTAATTTTAAAACATCTTGAATGTTTGACTCATGATGAATTACCAGTAAAACCATATTCTGCTCTTTGATAAATTTGACAGTCAATTGACTGGTCAGTTAGGCAAATTTAATTTGACCGGTCAATGGGGTTGTACACACTAGATCGAATTCATGCCATATCATATTTCTATTTTATATTAATCATTCCATGTACAGTATCGTTCATTATTTGAAATCAGGAATATATTATTTCACTAATGAAAATAATCATCCTCAAAAGCGCCAGCTCTCGATGACGTGCGATATACCGACATATAAGCACTGATAGTATAGTATCAAATTTCTCAAAAACCAATGAAAATATAAAATATTCAGTTCCACTCTAGCCTTCAAAGAGTGAACATCAAATTGTAAGCAGCAGTAGATATTATAGTTCAGTCCAACTGCAATAAGTATGGCTTCTGAAAGTGACGGATATTATAGCGAAATGGAGATATGTGATGATGGACAGTGGAAAAAAGTAAGACACAAAAGGAGTTTGAAAAGTAAGCAAGAAAGCACCACAAAAAAACCAAAAGCGTTAACTCAAGAGGAGATCAATAACATAATATTAGGCCCAACTTCCCATGCTATAACAGAGGCAAGAAATCAACACACAGATAAAGATCAGACCACAGCAATTAGTGAAACAGCAAAAAACAACAATCCCTTATCTACAGCACTCCAACAAAAAACCATCAATCCCACAAAAAACCAACAACCAACTACTCAACGATATCCACACAAAAACTATACAACCATCTATTCCACCTTGATACAGATACAGGGTGGACCAGAATCGCATTCTGTCAACTATGGGAAAATTTATGCCCAGAAAAGGAAGATGAGATACTGAAAACAAAAACTGGAATACTTCTTAAAACCAATCAAGAAAAAGGAAAAATCATCGAAATTCTACAAAGGATGGTAGCATTCAAGAAAATCAGCAACTATAAAGAAATATCAGCGAATACCAAAACACCAACATCATCCCCCTCAACAAGTTACTCAGTCGTCATTGGAGCAGTGGAATTAGAAATTGCAGATAAACAAATCAGTGACCAACTCAATAAAATAGGTCTACAACATCGATTCTGCAAAAGAATAATATCTCAGAAAACAAATCAGCCCTCAACACTAATTAGGGTAATCAGTAGCTCATCAAGTACATTCGAAACTCTGCTGAAAAACGGTCTCTACTACAAATATCGGCACTACCCTGTATATCCCAGCAAACCTCCCAATCCCATACCACAACCATGCAGCAAGTGCCACTCATTCGAACACTCATCCGAAAAATGTAACACTCCAGTGAAATGTACCAAATGTATGGGTCCACATCATTTCTCCCAATGCACATCCCTCCTACCTCCCAAATGTTCAGCATGTGGTAGTGAAGAACACCAGGCTTGGTCTCATAAATGTCCCAAAAGACCCACAGAACCAGTACCAGGTATACCCAATGTCCAAATAAAAACGTTGAATAAAAAATCACACCAAATACCAGCAGAAAAAAGAAAATCAAGAGTACACAGCCCAGTAACAATCCATGATCTAATCATCAACACATATGTCAACGAACTCAACCATCGGGAAAACCAAAACAGAGAGGAATTAATACAAAAGCTCAGGAAAAGATTTCAAAATGATTTCAACATGGACTCTACAGCGGTATTTTCGGGCAACAGAGTATATATTCTCATTTTTGACTTGGAAAACGAAGAGCAAATATCACCTACTGAACCAATCAACAGCGCTTATAATACCCAGCATGTCAGTACAAAATAAATGTAACCTTCTATACTGCAACATAAACAGCTATTCTTCAAGAAAACTGGTAATCAACAATCTCATAGAAGAGTGTGATATAGATTGCACAATGTTTGTAGAAAGCAAAACAAACACAGAAACAAATACAAAATACAAAAATTGGGACGTAATACAGTTCAATGGCAATAAAATCCATAATAAAGCAAGAGGTGGATCTCTAATCCATTCTCATCCAAGACTACAAATGGGAAAAGCTAATCCACCAGCCATCAATAATCCACTCAACGAATGTTTACATTTCACTATTCCATTTGATGATGACAAACTCCATATATTTCTGGTTTACATCCATCCCAGTGCAAGAATAGAAGAAACAATATTCACCAAGGCAAATTGTTTCAAATACTCCTTAATACTAGGGGACTTTAACATAAATAATCGATATAAAAGAAGGCAGCTTTCTAATTTTCTCAATAATTCCACTTTTCGAAAACAGGAAACAGCCCCAACATTCATTATGCCAAACAATAATGATACAACACCAGACATCATACTATATTCCGAAAATATCAAAGACAATATTGAATCCGTTGTAGAGACCCCTGACCTGGGATCTGACCATCTAGCGTTCATAATTACTTTAGACTTGCAAACAAAACCACACAATCATGACATCCTACGCTACAATTTCAGAAAAACTAACATGGAAAAGGTAAACGAAAATATAATCACTTATTTGGAATCACATGAGAATGAGGACATCACTAGAGAACGGATTTCCAGATTTTCCCAAACTCTAACTTCGATAATACTTGAAAATACTCCAAAGGTCAAGCACACTTTCCAGGCATACGAATTACCACCTTACATTATAACCATGATCAAAAGGAAACGACAAATGTATAGAGACTACAAAGTTATCCAAGATCCCAACCTAAAAAAAGAATTGAACAAATATAATAAAAATATACAACAACTTATACAACAATACAAAACCCATAAATGGATAGAAGTTTGCGAATCCATCAATGAAAAGAAAGGAAAAACCTACTGGCAGGACATCAAAAAAATATCCAAGTATAAATCGAAGAATAACATAGGGACAACATTATCAAATAATGGAAGGCAATATGAAACACCCTCAGAGAAAGCAAATATATTTGCACAACATTTTGAAGATGCATTCAAAGAATCTATAAATGGAAATTTTGACAGAAATCATTATGATACTGTAACAGAGTGGTACAACAACTATTTCAACGCACAAACCATCGATGAAACTCAAACAATTGAGGAAGACGAATATGACGAAATCGTTTATTCAGGAAAGAGCACATCACCTGGATATGACTACGTAACTAAAGATATATTGAGAAAATTGGATAGAAGAGTGCATTTATACATAATAAAAATCTATACATTTTGCATTAACAAACAGTTTGTACTTAGCGAATGGAAAATAGGAACAATAATAACCATACCCAAACCGAACACAGACCACTCTCAAACTGCCATCTATCGACCAATTACGCTTCTGCCGGTCCTTGGTAAAAATTTTGAAAAATTAATCAAGAACAGAATCCAAAATACAGTAGGAAATAGAATCCCAGGATACCAATTTGGATTTAAACAATCACATTCCACTCTCCACCCACTATGCATAGTTGCAAACAATGTAGAAACCAATAAGCTAAACAGGAGAAAAACTGCAGCAGTATTCCTGGATATCAATAAAGCATTTGATAGTGTTTGGCACAAAGGTCTTCTATTCAAGTTGCATACTCTGGGCTGTCCGAATTACCTGCTATACATCATCAGAAATTATTTACTTAATCGTAAACTCAAAGTGAAAATTCAGAACAGCTACTCCAACGAATTCTCACCAAAACAAGGTCTTCCGCAAGGTTCGCCATTATCTCCAGTCCTGTACAACATCTACTGCTCAGACATTTATCACCATGCCCATCAAGATCCGGAATACTTTAGTCACACAGCATACATACTACAATTTGCAGATGATACAGCTCTGATAACACATGACAAAACTACAGAACAAGCAGTGGCCAATCTCCAAAATTTAATTAACATAACCAGCGACTGGTTCAATAAATGGCGTCTCTTACCCAATCCGAATAAATCCCAATTAATTCTGTTTAACCATCGCCTCAAAAATACTTCGCCAACCATAGTCCTAAACCAACAAACCCTTTATCCAAAAGACAATGTAAAATACCTGGGAATCATTTTTGACACCAACATGAACTTCAACGCACATACCAACTCGAAGAAGAAGAGCATGATATCCAGAGCGAAACACTTCAGCTGCTTGATCTATCAAGGCAGAGGCATCGATTCCAAAACAGCTGAACGAATCTACAAGACCATATGTCGACCCATGATAGAATATGGAAGCATCATATTCCTGAACTGCAAACAACAGGCAATCAATAAATTGAAAGTAGCAGAAACAACAGCTATGAGAAAAATATCTCACCTACGCCATCCCCGTAATTCCCTCCACAACCCCCCGAACCAATTACTATACCAGACCTTGAACATTCCTCCAATAGAAGAAAGAATTCTGGGCCTAGCACAAAGATTCTGCAAGAAAGAAGAGAACTTGGAAATAGTGAGAAGATTCTGTTGCACAAGGGATCCTAACATTCGAAATTCTTATAAATACCCAGAAGAAACCACCCTGGAAAAAATGGAACGCCTTTCCACTGCTAACCACTGAGTTCTCTCATAATTTCTATATACACAATTTGTTTATTTTTTTAAGGATCTACTTATTCTAATGTCCTTTTTTTTTTTGTACATTTGTCATACTTATGATAGCCACATAAAATGATGTATGTATTGTTAATCGAAGCCATGGTTAGAAGGACCTCGGTCAATAACCCTTTGGATCATGTTTGGTTCAATAAAGTACTATTATTATTATTATTATTATTATAAAATATATTCACATTTTACATAGAAATAAGGAGTCACTTCCATAGTAGGAGTGTACTAAATACACACGATATAATAACAATGAAAAAGTCGCATTGGATTGGTCGCGGTATATGTCGTCACGCGTAGTCCCGCGTTTTTCATGTTATGAATTATCGTGAATTTCAATAATCATTTTAAGATATGGAGAAAACGGATTGTGACAGTGAACTATAGTATGGGCACAGTATTGAGCCTTACAGAAAGGGTTGGTACCTCAAAATACTGAAATACACTTTTTTTACTCATACAGGCCGCCCATTGCACAACTCTACCTTTTATCTAGAGTGCCTCGAACATCTCATTTTACGCTCTTTAAAAAGTGAGGACACTCTTTATATTGTCATGTTGTATAATCCTAACAGTGGCGTAACAGCAAAGGCACATAATGCTCATTTTTTAGTAATATCAATATTATATCATTGTATGAATTTCCATGTAATGAATATTGGAATTTGAAGCTTTATAACAAACACTCTTGTCTGTTGGCAATCCAAATAAATGGTAACCATCATTCTTAGAATTTTTGAAATTTGTTACCCAGCAAACACAGTTACAGTTACAACACATACAGAACTCTGTGATGTAACTATAACAAATATGACCTGCGATATCGCATTCTATGTCGCAAAGACGGCGCTGCGATGTCAGAGGGATGATATTTATTTGTCCCACTCAAGTTTCATCCATGCGACGTCGGTGTAAGTTCTCTGCGATATATTTTTTGCAATGTAATTTCGCTATGTTATTTATGATGGAAAAGCGATGTTTTTTGTGATAAAACTACGATGTGATTCGAGATGACATCGCAGTAAAACGAAAATAAAGTTTTCTCAAACATGGTGTGAATATAGGTATACCACTGACTTCTGATGACATCTGATATCGCAGTGTTGCCACATAGCGACATCTCAGAGATGTCTTGTCGCAGATGTGTTTGCTTATGAACATCGCAGCGATGGAACGTTTGTAATATCGCACTGTTACCTAAACGCGAAATCTCAGAGATGTCATGTCACAGATGTGGTGACTGAGAAGACATATTCGAAAATATTTTCCGGGGACGCCCATATTCAACTTTCAGAACTGACGTTTCAAATCTGTAGTGTGTGACAAGCGTGTCCTCACACTTTAAGGAACGTGAAATGAGATGTTCGAGGCACTCTACTTTTATCCACTCATTAAATATTCTATTTATAATTCTTTTCTGTATGTTTCATATATGAAAACACCAGAGATAGGTACCACAGAAAGTGTACGGAAACCCTCGTTACAATGAAGGTTATTGTCACCTGTATAACAGTTCTTGACCCAATGCGATATTTTTTATTTGTGGATTTATAACAAATTGAATCATGGATGCTATGTTCAGAAATGACAGTTTCATGAACTAGGTGCGTCATAATACCAAAAATACATAGTCATATATTTATACTGAGCACAATTTCTTGCCGAAAATCATTTCAGAACTTAACATTAATATGAAAGTCATTGACAATAATATCAATATATTATTCTTTAATTATTTGAATACAATATATATATATACCAATTAGGAAAAAGGATTGAAATTTTTATCACAGTTCATATCTTCTCTGAAAGGATTATTCTTATCTGACTCATCATCATCATCTGTTCCGAATGGATTCTTTGAGTCATCATAATCATCCTCAAAGGGATTTTTGGATATTGCAACACCAGATTTCGTTTCTACACTTCTTGGGTTGGCAAAACGAGTCATGTTTGCTTCCAAAGAGGTACTGTACCTAAAAAAAATGAAGGTACTATATTTATTTTTCATCTAAAATAACTAAGAGATTGCATAATTTTTGGAAAAAATGATTTCATAAAAAGGGATATTTTTCAACCGTCTATTCGAAATGAAGTAAGCATGTTGAGAGTGAACAGGTATAGTTTTCTGACTATTTGGCAACAGTCGTTGAGTGGTGTATTCTTCTAAATTCATCTGTTATATGAAAACAATATCGATCATGTTTTTAGAGTAAACCGGTTGAACTGCTCTGTTGATTTCTACTAAATGAATGAAAATCATAATAGTGAATGGCTATATAAGTATGTTGCTATGAACTGGAACTCTCATAAGCTTTTACATGAATTGTAAATCTATTAAGTATGTTTTGTATGGTCTACACTCTACACCTTTTCCAGTTGTATTCGAGAAAGTATCAACTGTATTTCAGAATAGTCAATTGAATTTCTGAAAGCGTCAATTGTATTTCAGAATAGTCAATTCAATTTCATCAAACCTATTCAAAGGCGATTGGGATAAATCAGTGAGCGTGTAAAAAATTTTTCACTCAGAAATATGCTTTCACGACGGTATATTGTTGAGGGGAAGCAAACTTGTGATACCGGAGAAGTTAGGACAAACGTTCTTTTAGCAGCCCACGAAGGTCACCCAGGTATGGTGGCCCAAAATTGACAATGACGCGGAAAATTAGTCTGGACATGCAAGGGCTGTATTTTAGTTTCAACACCGGCTCTGCCAATCCTATGAAACGGCGAGAACTGCCAGCTAAACCGTGGATTCATATAGTAATCGATTATCTGGATCCCTTCTAGTAAGTTACCTAGTAAGGGAATACATACTAGTTGTCATAGATTACTACAGTCGTTACACAGAAATAAAAATAACAAACGACATAAACACCAGGAAGACAATCGACTTACTTTAGGAAATATTTTCAAGGATTGGCTACCCTTCATCAATAGCAGCTGATAACGGCAGACAAATTGCAGGCGCAGAACTGAACAAATTCTGTCGGGAAAGTGGTATTACTCTCTCCCACATGATACCATATTGGCCATAACAAAACGGAGAAGTGGAGCGACAGAACCGAGACATACTGAAACGCATAAAAATAAGTCAATCGCTAAAACAAGACTGGAAAAAAGAACTACTTGACTATTTGGTGATGTACAATAGCACACCACATTTTCTGTTACTGGAAAACCCCCTGGTGAGCTTTTCTTTGGTAGACAATTCAAAGATAAATTTCCGAGCTAATATATCTTGAAAATAAACTAGAGGACGAAGTGAAAGATAAGGATAAATTACAGAAAGAGGAAGGTAAAGAATACAGTGACAAAAAAAGAAAGCTCAGGAAGACAACCTTCACGAAGCTGATAAGGTATATATAAAAGACATGCGGAGAGTAAAGAAAACCTGCCCCACCATTTCTCCCGAATCTCATACGATAATAAATAAAAAAGGAGCAGATATCCAAGTCAGAAATGATGAGACAGGTCAGGAATTAAGGAGGAACGTGATACACCTGGAAAAAATCGAAGGAGAATGGAAGGTATTACCTCAGATAGTAGAGGAACTAAAAGAAAACAATTGACTTTGACAACTCGTATTTCCCGTCATGAACAATTATCAAGAATCGTTTTTTTTTCAGTTATAGGTTGGTATTATTGTTGTGGATAAAGTAAAATTTTAAAAGTTAAATACTGTCTGTAGGTTGCTTGCATTCTTCTGCACGGAGACAATAGCATTGCTTCTTGTTCAGTTGATATAGACAGAACATGGTATTCACTACTAAAATCTGAACATGAAAATGGTAAATTCAAGATCAATTAATGAAAACATCCTGTAACTCATTTGATTGCCAACGTCACCAATTGTCATTGAAAACTGAAAAGCTTCAAGACATTATACGACTTCGCTATTGAAATAATCTCTTCTCATGTTGAAAACGGGAGCAGAACCGGTCCCGAAACGTCCAAAGATAAGTGAAAATTTGATATTTTTTCTATATACCTTTATTTCCCTTCTCCAAAAATTTTTTCAATACAAATTGTCACTGACAAGCTAGTGAATTTTTCTTTTAGGCTCTCTGATAGGAAAATTCTTTAAACGCAGTGACATTTTGGGCAAATCATCTGATTTGTCCTTACTACACGTATATTGAAATAATATTCATATTTTTATTTTATAGAAACGAGGAGAGAAAATCCCAAAAAAATTGGAATAATGTTTAAAAGTTAAGTTCATAGGTTATGGGTGTAAGGCCGAATTAGCTGTTAATTTGAAAAGTATTATATAACGTATTATATTATGAAAATGTTGGACGCTAGCTTCAAAATATAACTATTGTAATAAAGAAATGAAGAAGAAGGGAGAGCTGTAGTGTGCAGATTAGCTAATAAAGGAATGATGCAGACACTACTAACTCATCGGGAGATAACGTCTTTGATGATCGGGGGTTGAGTCAGTTGTAGTGTGACAGTCAGCGAGTGAAGTTAAAAGGTGTTTCATTCAATCGTGCCTTAAATCCCGTGTTTAAAAATAATACAGATAGCGAAGCAAAGTCTGTCAGTTAGGAATAAAACAATTATGGCTGTACTTGTCAGAATGAATCGCTCATTTACAATAAATGTTTTTTATGCTTCGTGAACGTGAAATAGTGTAGCTAAATACCACTCTGTTCTGAATATCTTCTCATAATTCTATCTTTCATTGTAAACTCAATTATGTTGCCATACAGCAGTATCAATCGTCCTAAAGGACACGTGGTGTTGCTCGGCAGAATTATCTGGAATATTCAGAACATCGTGATATTACTTATGATAATGATATACTAGATACAAGGTATAAAAAAGGACACAGGACATTGGCATATTCTATTTATTTAATATGACCTAGACACACAAACACCTTAAATACAAGTTTTCAATATGAATCAACAGGTTATCCGACATGCTTTGTTATATCAATTGCCAAGCATAGGATAAGAATTTCGAGAATTTTTCATTTTTTTTATTCACATTATTGTCCATTAGCTTATGATAGTACCAAATTATTGTAAATGCATATAGAAGCCTTCGGCGACTTTTCCAGTTGTAGTTAAGAAAACGCCAATTCAATATTAAAAAGCGTCAATTCTATTTCAGAAGAGTGACTTGTTTTTCAGAAAGTATCAATTGTATTTCAGAACAGTCAATTCAATTTCAGAAAGCCTCAATTATTGTATTTCAGAATAGTTAATTGAATTTCAGAAAGTGCCATTTGTATTTCAGAAAATATCATTTGAAATACAAATAATGCTTTCTGAAATTCAATGAATTATTCTGAAATACAATTGACGCTTTCTGAAATACAACTGAAAAAGGCATCGAAGACCCCTATATGCTTATCCAATGATTTATTACTCTCATAAGCTAATGGACAATAATGTGAATGAAAAAATTAAAAATTTTTGAAATTCTTATCTTATGCTTGTCAATTGATATAACAAAGCATGACTCATAACCTGTTGATTCATATTATTGAAAACTTGTATTTCAGTTGTATGTGTGTCTAGGTCATATTAAATAAATAGAATAAGTCATTGTCCTCTGTTCTCTCGTATACCTTGTATCTAGTATATCATTATTAGGTGGCCAGGTAGCCGTGCGGACAGAGTGTCTATATTCTAATTCGCATTCGCTTGCCGGTCGTGGGTTCGATCCCCGTCGACTGCAGAAATTTTTCTGATGGCCCAAGAAAGTGTTTAGGATCACACGTTAAAAGGTAAGGCCCCCGTCATTCCTTGCTCGCACAAGACTTTCGAAGACTTTTGAGGGTTGCTCGTAAGGGGGCAACCGAATGACGGATAGAACAAACAAACAAAACAAATTATCATAAGTAATATCACGATGTTCTGAATATTCCAGATAATTCTGCCGAGCAAAACCACGAGTCCGTCAGGCGAGTGGTATTGCTGTATGGCAACACAATTGAGTTGACAATGAAAGATAGAATTATGAGAAGATATTCAGAACAGAGTGGTATTTAGCTAGACTATTTCACGTTCACGAAGCATAAAAAGCATTTATTGTAAATGAGCGATTCATTCTGACAAGTACAGCCATAATAATTATCTTATGCCTAACTGACAGACTTTGCTTCGCTATATGTATTATGTTTAAACACGAGATTTAAGGCACGATTGAATGAAACACCATTTAACTTCACTCGCTGACTGTCACACTACAACTAAATCAACCCCCGATCATCAAAGACGTTATCACCCGATGAGTTAGTAGTGTCTGCATCATTATTTTATTAGCTAATCTGCATACTACATCTCTCTCTCATTTTTCATATCTTCATTACAATAGTTATATTTTAAAGCTAGGGTCCAACATTTTCATATTATGATACGTTGTATAATACTATTCAAATTAATAACTAATGCGGCCTTACACCCATAACCTATGAACTTAAATTACTAGTTGATACTAACTTATTTCACTCTATCAAGAACAATAATATCAACCTATAACTCAAACAAAAGAATCCTGGATAATTGTTCATGAAGGGAAGTACGAGTTCTCGAAGTCAATTGTTTTCTTTTGGTTCCTCTACTATCCGAGGTGATACCTTCCATTCTCCTTAGATTTTTTTCAGGTGTATCACGTTCCTCCTTAATTCCTGACCTGTCTCATCATTTCTGACTTGGATATCTGCTCCTTTTCTTATTTATTATCGTATGGAATTCGGGATTGAAGGTGAGACAGGTTTCCTTTTCTCTCCGCATGTCTCTTATATATACCTTATCACCTTAGTGAAGGTTGCCTTCCAGAGCTCTTTTTTCTTGTCCCTGTATTCTTTACTTTTCTCTTTTTGTAATTTATCCTAATCTCTTACTTCGCCCTCTAGTTTATTTTTAAGATATATTAAGCTTCGAATTTTATCTTTGAATTGTCTACCAAACAAAATCTCACCAGGGGGTTTTCCAGTAACAGAATGTGGTGTGCTATTGTACATCACCAAATAGTCAAGTAGTTATTTTTCCTAGTCTTGTTTTAGCAGTATGTCTCGGTTCTGTCGCTCCACTTCCCCGTTTTGTTATGGCCAATATGGTATCATGTGGAATTGAGTTATACCACTTTCCCGACAGAATTTGTTCAGTTCTCGCCCTGCAATTTGTCCACCTTTATCAGCTGCTATTGATGAAGGGTAGCCAATCCTTGAAAATATTTCCTAAAGTAAGTCGATTGTCTTCCAGGCGTTTATGTCGTTAGTTATTTTTATTTCTGTGTAACGACTGTAGTAATCTATGACAACTAGTATGTACTCCCTTACTACGTAAGGGATCCATATAATCGATTGCTAAATCAATTCACGGTTTAGCTGGCAGATCTCGCCGTTTCATAGGATAGGTAGAGCCGCTGTTGAAACTGAAATACAGCCCTTGCATGTCCCCACTAATTTTTTCGCGTCATTGTCAATTTTGGGCCACCATACCTCTGTTCTTAGTCTGACTTTCATGGCTGAGATTCCTGGGTGACCTTCGTGGGCTGCTAAAAGAACGTTTAGTCGTAACTTCTTCGATATCACAAGTTTGCTTTCCTTCAACAATATACCGTCGTGAATGCATATTTCTGAGTGAAAAATTTTGTACACACTCTGTGATTTATCCCAATCGCCTTTGAATAAACCCTTCCTGACTTAACCAATTTCTTCTTTTATTTCAGACTGGTAATTAATTTTGGCTAGAAAGATTGCTATATTGAGTATTCCATTGAGTTGTTTATTGGTTCGTTATCGTAAGGTTTGGAAACATTATGCGGACATTTTGCTTAGATTTTGGTCCGAAAATGACTTCCAGAGGTTTCTGGTCTGTAACAAGTTCGAATTCTTTTTTACCATACAAATAAACTTCAAAGTGTTGGACGGCCACGTCTTCTTTTCCAAAAAACAGCGAAATTTTCGCAATTTTTTCAGTTTTTTGCCTGTACCTCGGAAACTATATCAAATCAAATAAAAAATACTTGATTGTCTGAAGAAGACAAAGTCACTATGTTGAATAAAACATAAGTAAAAGTAAAAGGTAAAATCACGGGTAAAATGGTCGAACATAATATGACAACATTACATATACATAACATTTGAGATATAAGGAGGCCAGTAACAACTTCCAGACTATCAAATGAAGAAATGAAGAAAAACATGTTAAAATTCGTCTGAATAAAATTCTTCTATAGAGTAAGTAGTAGGGCTTTCTTTATTAGAAAATTTCTGGTTATCCTGAAATTTTTATTGTCACATATTCCTTCAATCTCGTTTGGTAAATGATTATATAGTTTTTTCCAGTATAAATGAAAGAGTTTTTTATGAATGTAGAAGACGGTAACGGAACTGTTATATTCATTGTTTGTCTTGTGTTATATTGTGAGATTCTTTCATTATTATATTTACATTTACTATGAATAGAAATAGAAAAGTTTCCAAAAATTAGAATACAATAGATTTTAGCGAAAAGACCACTCTATATAAACTTGAAGTAGATGACATTTTCTATTTATTCACATATATTGAGTCATAAAAAATAATTTCAATAAAATATCAACATTATGTAGTTCAAAGTACTGTATCGTCACCCATTTGATACACCAACCAATCAATTGTATGAAATAACAAATATGTATTCTTTAGATGAAATATATAGAATTGAAACTCTTAAATTCCATATATCATAAATAAAAAATTGAAGTCGAATATTATTTTGATACGGAATTCTGAAATTCATAATCATGAAAATAGACAATATAACTTGTTTCATCTTGCTGCCGCTAGCTCCATACTCGGACAGAAAAGATGCACTCATTCATCCATAACTAAATTCAATAAACTACCTGGCAATATCAAAAACTGCAGAAATGTAGGTACATTCAAGAATAAAGTAAAAAAACTGATTATTTCTGAGCCAACTGGATAAGATTAGTCATGTTATTTTACTATGTTTTTTCTTCAAATATTATTCTTTGTTCGCCAATTTATAGTTGTTGATGTATTTTGAATGATGAGATGTATATCTATAGATATATAATTATGTACTTCCTTATATCAGAGCCTATTCTGTCAGGAAGTTATTTGTTCAATAAATAAATAAATCATAAATTATGATAATACAACTTGTGATACTATTTATATTGGTAATATCCGTCGATTGACACACTCCAGCTTGCTGCTTTAATTTCGCTCATGACATCATTCCAAAACTTCTCGCCTACGGTTCGAAAGTTTTGATAGATAATGTCATTCATATCATATATCATATAAAGATAATGTCATTCATTTATATACAAACTGATAATAATAATAATATTCTCATGATACAAGAATCAAACATGAGCTAAATGTGCAGAAACCAAGAACAAATAGAATACTGAATAACCCAATAGATAGAGCAGTAAAAGCATATAACGAGGTACCAGTGACTTTAAAAAATACTGCAACATATAATATATATAAATCACTACTGAAATGCTGGTGTTTGAACAAATTTCAATTACAAAACTAGCAAATGTTGTTGTCATATGTCAGTGGATGGGCTCAGTAAAGTTTACGATTGTAGCATAAGATTCAACTAAGTTAATTAAAGAACTGTAACAATAGTATTTAACATTAACGTCATTAATATTGTATTACAAATTACACATGTAAACGTCAATTTACTTGTCTATGATCCCGAGACCGGCTAACCGAGGCCGATTTTGGACCATTCCTGTTACTGAGATATGTAATTTATGTAACAAGAATAAAGTATTTCAAAAAAAAATTCCCGAAATTATCAGGCAACAAGCTGTCGTAACAATCGCCGTATATTGCCGGCAAAATAGTATCACTTGTGGTATAACACATGATAAAACACTAGTAAATCAGTAGTATAGTAGTTTCAAGTGAAATACTTCTAAAAATTGACTGATACATAGATTTACTTCTTACCTATGTTCTTGTATTCTCATTCTACCTTCTGAAATAGGTACAGCACCAGGTTTACTCTTGACCTCAGTCTGTCGCATTCGAGCTTCAGCTCCAGCACCATAACTTCTAACTTCCTTTTCAGGTTGCTTAATTTTCTTTTGAGTGTCTATCTTCTTGTCAGGAACACTAACACTTTTTTGCGTTGATTCATCGGTAATTACCTGAAAAACAGTAGATTGTGTACAGGGTCTTCACTTATATATACAGTGTCATTCATAAAGTCGGCATCATATGAGAAACACTTTTATTGATGACTTATTTTGAAATTCGAGTTGGACGTTAAGTTTTGCTTCAAAGAAGATGAAAAATGGCCTACTCAATCGGGGTCACGTGACTTTCGCTACATGTCAAAAGTGACATTTTTTCAAATTAATTTCTGAAAGTAGGCTTATGTGTTCAAATATCGAAAAAGTTCATTTGAAAAAGTTGTTTCTATTCAAATTTTACATAATGTGACTCGGATTTTATCTCTCTATTACATTTTGTAGATTTCGATATTTTTTAAAAATTTTCGAAATTTCTGTAATATTAAAACAATTGTAAATTTGATAAAACTACTTCATACCAGTAGTTTCATCATGCTACTAACTTTCAATTACTAATTATCACTAATTATCGACAAAAATATGATTTTCTTCAGAAAATTCTGTTATGTTTGATGCAAACATATCATCAAAATTCTGTCATGTTTGAGTCAAGCATTTAGAAACGAAATTCATTTAAATTTATTTTTTTAGTACTGAAAATATCAGTTTAAATGAATTTCGTTTCTAAATGCTTGACTCAAACTTAACAGAATTTTGATGTTACGTTTGCATCAAACATAACAGAATTTTGAAGCGGAGATTATCATTTTCTGAAGAAAATCATATTTCTTTCCATGATCATGAGTAATTGAAAGTAAGTAGCATGAAAAAGCTACAGGTATGAAGTTGTTTCGTGGAATTAACAATTCTTCAAATATAACAGAAATTTTGAAAAATTCAAAAAAAAATCAAAATCTAAAAGTTGCAATAGAAAGATCAAATTCGAGAAGGATGTGTAAAATTGGAATAGAAACAACTTTTTCGAGTAAACTTTTTCGATATTCATACAAACAAGCCTACTTTCAGCGATTAATTTGAAAAAAAGTCACTTTTGACATGCAGCGAAAGTCACGTGACCCCGATTGAGTAGGCCATTTTCAATCTTTTTTGAAGCAAAACTTAACGTCCAACTCGAATTCTAAAATAAGTCATTAATAAAAGTTTTTCCCATATGATGCCGACTTTATGAATGACACTGTATATATATTTTATTCGTTTCTTCAACGTCGGCTTTTTTCTGCTACTGAGGCTAATCACCGACGCCGGTGAGCCCAACCGGAAATTTTGCCGAATCCTCTGATGTTCCAACCAGAGGTAGGGATCTTTAACGAGTCCAACATCCATGGCCTCGGGACCGCCGGCTTAACGTCCCCTCCGAAGGACGGCAACCTACTATTCTTTGGCATATTCGTACCATATCTTGTGCTCATTGATATGGTAGCTGTAGCTATGATATGCTATTCCGCTACAGATGTACCGGCTTACGCTGCGTTATCTCGAATGGTCACCCATCCAAGCGCTCGACACTGCCTAACTTCAGATACCGAACGGCTAGAGCCTTACCACAGTAGAGAGCTCTCTACTGTGGCCTTACCTGAAAAGCTAGGGCGACGCCCCTTCACTTATATTGTGAACCCATATCCGATTTAATTGCAATTGCTGACTCCTAAGAAATACAGGGTGGCTCTTTGAAAACGAAACAGAGGCTTTGAGGCCACCAAAACCGGATTATGAAAAAACTCTGGAACACGTCAACTACATTTTCGAGGGGGGCATCGTTCTAAAATATTTTCAGCCATACGGCGTTGCCGCTTTCACCGAAAAGAAGCAACAACTTTGTTATTTCAAATTGAACACCTTGTATTTCATTGCATTTTCAGATTCTCCCCGAAGAGCTGAGCACAGTTGGGATCTAGCGGCAATGATCACAGAGCTATAGAGTGTTCAAAATCGATATTTTTCAACTTCAGGATTTTTGTATGTCGAAACTATTCATCATTGGTCAAAGCGGCTCATATAACCCTATCTTAACTTTCGATTCACTATCTACTGACATTTATTTGAAACAAATACAGGGTGGTTCAAGATTCACAATTCTGATCAGCCTGTATATGTTCCAAATAAATGTCAGTAGATAGTAAATCGAAAGTTGAGATAGGGACATAAAAACCGTTTTGACCAATAATGAATAGTTACGACACAAAAAATGCAAGAGTTGAAAAATTTCGATTTTGATAACCCTATATCCCTGAAATCATTCCAGCTAGACCCCAAGTGTGATGCTAATAATAATAATAATAATAATAATTTTTATTATCCTGTAAGACAATCAAATGTTACATTGTGTAGGATTAGTCACGAAAGAACCTTAACAATAAAAGCTAAAATAAGTAAGTAGAAATTTTACAAGCAGTAACACATAAACACATTATTCAAGGACAATTAGTACATAAACACATTATTCAAGGACAATTAGTTAAAAATGGATTACAACACCAAATTCTTATTCAATCATTTCCTGAATGGAGTAATAATTTTTTTCTAAAAGGAAGGACTTGACTGCAATTTTAAAGCTATAGCTAGTACTAGAGTTTTTCAGTTCAATGGGGAGCAGATTAAATAATCTGAGCCCAAGGACTTGAGTGCAATTTTAAAGCTATAGATAGTACTAGAGTTTTTCAGTTCAATGGGGAGCAGATTAAATAATCTGAGCCCAATCACATTTGGAGAATTATAGGTCAATAAGTTTTTACAAAATGGTACATAAAAGTCTGTCTTAGATCTAGTATTAATATTATGCACATTTTCATTCCTTACAAAACAGTTACGGTTGTCAAATACAAAAACGCATAATTCAAATATATACAAGCACGGTAATGTTAGTATTTTGAAATTTTTAAAAAAGCTCTTGCAGCTTGTACTTCTCGAGACTCCTGCTATACATCTTATAATTTTTTTCTGGGCGACAAAAACATCTCTGCATGAGGAAGAAGATCCCCAGAAAGTAATACCATACCGAAGGCGGGATTCGACTTGGGCATAATACAGCATAATCAGCTGTTTTTGTTCGAGAATATGACGAAGGTTTCTAAGAAGGAAATTCATAGAGTTCAGTTTTGATATAATTGTTCCACAATGAACTTTCCAGCTGAGAAATTCATCCAAGTGTACACCTAAAAACTTCACCGTAGAGCACGGAGAAATCTCATCATCTTCAATTTTCAAGTTGAGACTGGCAACTTCTTTTTGTCTAGTATGAAATCGTATCAAGTGCGTTTTCTGATTATTCAGATATAGGGAGTTTTCCTTAAACCAGGTATTTAAATTTTGTAGAATTAAGTTACCTTTAATTTGTAGATTTTGATCTATTTTATCTGATATAACAAGTGAAGTATCATCTGCATATAATGTGAAATGAGCCTCTTTGGAGATGGATTCAATATTGTTCACATATAACAAAAAAAGTACTGGGCCCATCACTGAGCCCTGAGGGACACCAACATTAATATCCACATAATTGGATGTATATGATCTTTTCACGTCGTTATTAACATTCATGATACTGACAAATTGTTTCCGTGTTGAGACAAAAGTTTTTAGCCAATTCAGCGCATTTCCTTGTATGCCAATATTATGGAGTTTTTCATAAAGATTTTCGTGATCGACACAGTCGAATGCCTTACTGAGGTCACAAAAGACCCCGATAGGACACTCGCCTCTGCTAATTGAACTCAAGACATTTGAATATAAAGAATGAATCGCATCGTTGGTTGACTTTGCTCTTCGGGGAGAATCTAAAAATGCAATGAAATACAAGGTGTTCCATTTGAAATATCAAAGTTGTTGCTTCTTTTCGTTACACGCCGCAGGGCTGAAAAATATTTTAGAACGATGTCCCCCTCGAAAATGTAGTTGACGTGTTTCAGATTTTTTTCATAATCCGGTTGTGGCGATACCAACAGAGCCTCTGTTTCGTTTTCAAAGGGCCACTCTGTATAGGACTTTGATTTTGGGTAGTTTCTCAACAAGAAAAATATGGAGATATGGATTCAGTCATGAACTTTGGTGAAGGTATGCCAATGGGAAGTTAATCGTAGTTGAGATGTTAGTTCAAACTTTAAATGGTGAATATGTAGTGATAAAAGTTAAGATGGCTCCCATATTAATGATATAAACGTTAGTCAAGGTAATATTGACAGTTTGTTGAATGAAATATCAAATCCATATGAGCTACTTTCCTCCAAAGGACCCTATTCTTGACAATATAATGACGTCATAAAATTAGTCATGTGTCCTGATCTAATGCTGTTCAATCCTTTCTCCCGGAAATTGCTTTCATTCCAATAGATTTTTTGAAGTTGAAATATTGGAGCATTTTTGATGATATTTAGGATAGTCATAAAAAAACAAAGAATCTAATTTCGATTGATCTAAAAATTATGCGTATTCCTAATAAGGGTACCTTGTATTTATTGAAGACACCTCTACCGAAATATTCCGCAGCAACAGAAAATCCATCATGTGCTTTTTCCAGCTGTGAATGAAATGTTTCGTGTAGGTCTTTATTGTACTCTCTAGCTCTCAGCAGCTCGATGAGATTCTTATTTTCTGGTTGGCATGTAGGACATTCATTCTCGTCATCTGAGAAACTCTGGAAACAATGTTGATGAAAGCTATGATCGCAGAGGAAGTGAATTTTCGGTAATTCTAGGGTATGGTGACAAGCTGCACATCTGAAATATTATATATAAAATTAGAAGCTGCGTGTATCGTTCTGTTTAAACAACTTAGGATATAGGATAATCTTACGAAAATTGTACAACTGAAATATTCATATTCTCGAAGCATACCTATTATTGTTTGTTGAAGGTGCGAACATTTAAAAAACGACTAATAGGCAATTTTTATCGCAATACCTTATACCTGTAAGGTGTTAGTTATACAAAGGCACATTTTGATTCTCTTGCTTTTTCAATTCACCCTGTATCAAAATATAAGAAGTTCGATATACAGTCTGTCCAAGATAAGGTTGAACAGCATGGGGATCTCGGAAACGGTAGGAGATACGAAGTCGCTTAAATGGGGAAAAAGTTGCGCATTCGGAGGCTCATATCAAGAGCCTTCGAAAATTTTGAAAATTATTTTTAGTTTTTGAGTTATATCGAAAAAAGTGAATTTTTGGAATTTCTATTTTTTTTTTTCTCCGTTATTATCAGAGATACAGAAAAACTGAAAATACTTTTTCATTGCAACTTTTGATGAGGTTTAACGTGGTGATACCGATTTTGTTATGCGACGTTTCGTATTCGTGGAACCATCATCAACTTTTGTTTTTTAAATACGGTCCTGATAATTTTTTCACAGATTCTGAAAGGTTTTTTTATTCTGAATTCAACAATGTACTATACAAGGTGATTCGAATGTGTTTCGACCTATTTCTATCCATCATCAATGTTTTTTCGAACTTCCAAAAGAAAAAAAGCCATCAGTTCCAGTTATTTCTTATCATTTAGTGTCAAACTTGATGGATTAGTTATTCAATACTGAAAAGTGAATAAAAAATATTTCACTACATCATTCGATCAATGCAGCGTTTAAAATTGTTGATGAATTCTTACACGAATTACTTTAACAACTTAACTTTGACAATACCTACAGAGACATTCATAACAAATGTTCAAAATGATAACCATTATTTTCTGAACAAAGATATCCTCTTCTCACAGTTGTTTCTAAGACATTGCTAAGCATTTCTGGGGTTATTCTATTGAATGCTTCGAAGACACTGTCCCTTAGTTCTTCTTAATCCTCAAAGTTATTTGCGTGTACAAAGTTCGATATATCCCCAAAGAAAAAATCCAGCTGTGTTAAATCAGGCGACCGCGCCGGCCAAGGGATAAAAACGCACGGACTTCTCTGGAATTATGTACCGGAGCGCCATCTTGTTGAAACCAACAGAGTTCTGAACTTCCGCAATCGGTAAATCATCCAGAGCTTCCTCAAGATGATTCTCAAGCGAATTTCTATAACGTTCGGAAGTCTGTGTTTCATGGTAAATAGAAGGAACAATAATTCGTGTACCAAATATTGCAACCCACATATTAAAGCCGAAACGGTGTTGGTGTCTCGCTGTAATGTATAAATGTTCATTTTCTCGTGAACAATAATGTGTATTTTTTCTATCGAAGCTACCATGATTAGTGACCATGCTTTCATCAGTCCAGATGATTGTTCGAAAGAAATCTGCAAAATTTTAACATTTCCTGGTATACCACTCACAGGACGTCTTGCGCCTTTCGTCATCTCCTGGTTTTAGCGCTTGACATATTCTGAATTTGTATGGATGGAATTTTTGTTTCCGCAAAATGGAATGGGTTGTTGATTGAAACCAGTTGATGAGGTATTAGTGTGTTGACTAATTTTCCTTCAAAATAAGTGGAACTGATGGCATTTTTCCTTTGGAGTTTCGAAAAAACATTGATGATGGATGGAAATAGGTCGAAACACAAATGAACCACCTTGTATAATAGATGGTTGAATTCAGAATAAAAAAACCTTTTAGAATCTGTGAAAAAATTATCAGGACCGTATTTAAAAAACAAAAGTTGATGATGGTTCCACGAATACGAAACGTCGCATGAAAAAATCGGTATCACCACGTTGACCGTCATCAAAAGTTGCTATGAAAAAGTATTCTCAGTTTTGCTGTATCTCTAATAATAACGGAGAAAAAAAATAAAATAGAAATTCCAAAAATTCACTTTTTTCGATATAACTCAAAAACTAAAAATAATTTTCAAAATTTTCGAAGGCTCTTGATATGAGCCACCGAATGCGCAACTTTTTCTCCATTTAACCGATTTCGTATCTCTTACCGTTTTCGAGATCCCCATGCTGTTCAACCTTATCTTGGACAGACTGTATAACCGGTGAAGTAGTCAATTAATGGAGGAACACATCAAATGCTTAGATATTGAGTTTCATCGCGTTAAGTTCTACAGGAAGATGTCTTAACGTCAACCAAAAATCTATTAAACTTAAGTTAAGGTTCACCATTTCGAAAACTCAAGAATAGTTATTTATACACCAAGGTAGTGAAGAACATTTGTATTACCCAGGCTTCAGCCGAGGGGTATAAGGTCCCGTGGTAATAATGTTCTTTACTACCAAGGTGAATATTAAATTTTTGTCACCACTAGCAATATATTTCAATCATGTATAGTTCTGTGAAACTGGAATATGGACCTGTTGTCACTATGAAAGCACTTCTTTGGCTCCGGAATGATATAACGATGTTCAAAATGACGAATTTTGAAACGGCGATGTTGAAATAACGATGATTTTAAACAGCGTGTAATACAATAGCGACATGTAAAACAGCGACGTATCAAAATGGCGATATACTGATAACACTATGGAATAGAACATATACATTCATAATATTGCATGAGTTCATATCATATCGACAAATTTAAAGAAATGGCCTCTAAATAATCCTTAACACACCGCAATGAGTGACTTTGCGTAATAGTTTGGAGGCGTTTCTTCAACTGAGTATACTTGCTTTTAACGGACTCTGTAGTCATAAAACCAGCTCTGTATCTCAAGGTGAAGTTTTCAGTTTGGGTTTGTTCCAAAAGAAATCTGTCCAAAAGTTTAGACAATGAAGGACGATGGCAATCCATAGCTCTTTGGAAGGCATTATGCCATGCCTCCAACGAATTATTAGTTCTCGGGATATCTGTATTGATTCGATCATACATGTTCCACATGGGTATAGGGTATTTTGGCATAACTCCTTCCAGTCTCCTTCCTACATAGGTATTTTCCCAATAATCTGTTATAGTAGTCATTTCGACGGGAAACCCCTCTTCTTTAATAATTTCGTACGCAAACTGTACGTCTCCTGTTGGAACGAAACTCAATGCGAGCAGGGTTTTACATTTTAATCTGACTTCCTGTCTGTTCACATATAAATTAGCTATTCCTGGGGTTCTCTGAATTTGACGCCAAAGGTTTTGAGAAAGATAAAAAAAACTGCTTACATCCGATTTAGAAAAGATTTCTTTGAATGCATTCGCAGCTCCTATTTCAAAATCAAACATAACAGATTTAGGTTCTAGCGTTGGCTGTAACTCTTTAATTTTTTGGGAAAGCCTGGAGTAAGTCTCCTTTTTCTTGCTACCAAGAATTGCGTACAGCATCGGAATTGCTTTATCTCCCATAAAAGCATGTATTGTGTAGATCTGTAAAGCAAACTCAGGTGCTATCTTAAATGTTCCGTCAGCACACCAAAGATTAAATTCGGTCAATGTCTGCATGTTCGCATTCGTCCCAAACAATAAAATCCTATCACTTGTGTCTACTTCACTAGAATCGAACAATAAGAAATTGACACCTTTCAACGTTTTGTGATACTTTAGAGTTATTTTGGATTCAAAATTGAATGAAGTAGAATTTTCTGATTGGTTCCTTTGACGATGGACAATCTGCCTTGCGGCGTTATAATTAGGTAAAGCAACCACACCTTCAGGGTTTACATTTTGCGCGCATTCTTGTATAATCAACCTTGGACGAAATTTACGCCTTGAAAAGGAGTAAATAATGATAGGTTCTACAGCTAGTGGTGGAAAAAACGGTTTATTACACACTTCACCAAACAGTTACTGAAAATCGTCTCTACTGAAAAAGGGCTGTCAGATATAACACAAATAGAATGATAAACAAAAACTCTCCAAAGAATGCAAGGGGATACAATGAGGCTTAGTGTCATTATAATAATATAGGTTAGGTTCCATGTGAGTGGGGCGAATACCGTCTCTCCACTGTGACCCCAAATGGGTCTATTGTGGCTCACCCCTAGAGGTTACAGTACACTGTACAAACCACATATTTTTACAAAGTCCATGGTTGAATTTGGTGAGATTTGTCTGAAATCGATAGGTTCTAAGTTGGTAAAGCCAAACATGTCGAACCTCAGTCTCTCTAAGCAAGAGCATGAACATAAAATGTGTTCAGCCGTTTCGTCTTCCTCACAGCAGAACCGACAGTCCGTTTGTTGGTTCAGAGCCATCCTTCCCAGGTAGTATCTATATAATAATATACAGTGTGTCTCACTTCAAACGATCCCCCTCTATATCTCAGCTATTAGTCGTGGAATTCTTACGGACCAGTATAAAAAATCATCAAAATGTTCAGTTTTTCAGAGACGTACATCATTTTGGACAGTTTCCTTTTTTCTTAAAATGAAGAGGGGTAAATTTTTTATGAAATCATATCAGAAATTTTCTATATAATTTCTATGGCGAATTACAAAGGAACAGGCGCATCTAAACAGCACTTTTGCGTACGTGAATTATTATTTACACGGAAACGGTGTGTTCAACAACAAAAAAGTAAATCCTGGTTTTTCTTTCAAATCATATTTTTGTACCTACCGGAGCTATTGAACACTATTTTTTCGAGGCAGAATGAAAAAAAAGAAGTCAATCCTGTTAATTCGGAATGAGGTGATTTTTTGTATATGGGGGTTAGAAAGCATGAGGAACAATAATATGAAGTTAGTTTTCCTGCAAAAATATTCCTAATATGATTTCATGAAAAATCGACCCCAATTATTTTGATTAAAACGCACGGCACTGTCCAAAAGGATGTTTGTCTCTGAGACCTGATCATATTGATGGTTATCATTCATACCGGTTCAAATTTTGTACGAATTGCAGGACTAGTAGCTGAGATATAGGAGGGGGGGAGGAGGGGGGGGGAAGCGTTCAAAGTGAGACAAGCTGTAGGTACCGAGTTTGACAAAATGGAATGTAAATTTGAGATAAATTCATGAAGATTTTTATAGTATGGAGGATATTTCTTAGAATTAGTAACGAGTTTTATATTTTCAGTAATACATATTATATGGATCAGAAAAAAAAATATCATTAATTTTTTGTTGGCCTAGAGAAACCTTCTTGTATAAGTAACAACGATGAAACTGCGTATCTAAGGAGTCGATGTGATTGAATGACTACTTCACAGGTTATATCAACCCCTTAGATTTTGATACAGGGTGAATTGCAGAAGTACACATATTGAAATTTGTCATTGAATAACTAATACCCTAAATGAAGAATTGCGTTAAATCGAATAGGCTATGCACTTTTTAGGAAAAAAATGGACTAATAGTCGTTTTTGAAATTTTGGCCCCTTCAACAAACAATAGTAGGCCTTGAGAATCTGAATATTTCAGATTTGTGAACATTTTCGAAGAGCTCGTTGAGTACCTATACTATACTATGGAATTTTTGTTTTTGAAAATTACAACTCCTTTCAATATGGGAGATTGTTGCAGTCACAGAACAGAACATATTTCATCTTCAGGATTTTTATAATTCGATATTTTTTAAATTCTGAAAGTCGTGATGATGCTTGTTGCTTACAATTTTTCAACTCCGCAATCCGCTTTGAGCAACGATGTATTTCTACCAACGTTAATTGTATCATTACCTTGATCCTCTGATCTCTATAACACCACCCTTGAGTTTTTCAAGATGTTCCTTGAGATTATGAATATCTTTTCTGTAATTTTGCGTTAGTTCCGAAATCTCTTTGGTTTTCTTCTGTTCCTGCTGTATCTCGTTTGTAATATACGACCTTATGTGCCCCAAAGTTATTTCAGCATTTCCTGTACCTACGGCATCGATGACTAGTTGTGGAGAAAATAACTTTTCTTTCGCTATGACAGTGAGTATCTGTAAGAAAATATATTATCAATTGAATGTTCATCGAGAGAAATCCACAAAATAAAAAAGCGGTTCATTTGAAGAAAAGCGGGAAAACCATGAGGGTACGAATAGATACGGGAAGGAATACATTAAAGGATCGTGTCACACAAGAACTGCGAACCTGCTATCTCTCAGCATAGACCACTAAAATTAGTGTGTGTTTTCAGATACACAGAGAAGTGCACAAAAAACGGCCAGGACTGTAACTTTTGAATTATTCTAGATAGGGTTTTGAAAGTTGGTGGGTAGCAAGTATACCAAATTGTTCATTAATTGTTGAAGCAATTTTTCAACTATCACTTCCAGTTTCACCGGAGATATGGCGGACGACTTTTTAAATTATGATCAGATTCTATTCAAAATTGGTGTCTGGGGGTTTTCGGAGTCGGATATTGTGATTTTGTTCTTTAAAATTGGGAAATTCAACATGGTGGATCCAATATGGCGAAAGAGCTTTAGTAATAAACAGTAGTTTAAAAAACTATAATGACGCTTTTATGGATAGCCAAACTCAAGACCAAACTGAATAGAAGTAGGAAATTGATAGTATAGTTTAAAAAACGAGATAGATTATCAAACTAAAAAGAAGTAGAAAACAAAATAATGAAAGTGTATTGATAAATATTTAACTAAAAAAATATTTTCTAGAAATAAATGTATATAGCAAAACAACATTTGCCGGGTATCAGCTATTATAATGAATAGTAGTTTAAAAAACTAATGAAACACGTTTTTATTTATTTTATTTATTTATTTGAATATAATATCTATATAATATATTTTTACAATATGTTTTGCATTTTTATAGCTATATATTAGAAATTAGGACACCTAGGTGAAAACACACCTGTATGTGTCTTGAATGGAAATGTTCGAAATGTACATGAATATTTTAGTGAAATAGATTGAGGTGAACTGTTCATATTATGTTTATATGACATGTTTCAGAGTATACAGAGAAAATAAAAATATATACATTATCCTAAGAAAATATTATTATACAATTTCGAATAGTTTTGGAAAATATGTATTTTGCAGATCTTTTTGAATCTATATTTTTGTAACAATTTTATATCTAACGGTAGAGTATTGTAACATTTGGGTCCTAAATAGTTCACACAATTTTTGAAAAACTCACTGTTCGGCTTATCAACTCCAATATGCATATTAGATACAGCTCTAGTGTCATGACTATGATCGATAGGAATTTTTAGGGATTCATGATTCTTCAGGTGACAACATACTGTATAAATGAATAAACATCTAATATTAGAAATTTTCTCATTATATAGTAAATGAGTTGGATACAACCTGTCTCTTTTATAAATAATCTTCAATATTTTATTTTGTATAACATTTAAGGGCCTTAGTGCTGTGTCATACATGCCGCCCCATACTAAGATTCCATAACATAGAATAGATTCTACTAAACTGTAATATAATGTTATAAGCAGGCTTATACTGAGAAACTGCTTAGCCAAACTATAAAAAAGTGAGTAGAAAATAAATAGTTAAAAAAAAATTGAGAGATATAGAGTGCCGAACTAAAAAGAAGTAGAAAATAAATAGAATAATTTGAAAAACTAAAGATTCCCGCTTTTATGGATAGCCCAACTAGAAGTAGTAATGAAATAATATGTTTTTCTAGAAATAATGTTTATGGCAAAACAACGTTTGCCGGGTCAGTTAGTCATACATATAAATAATGTTAGTTATACAAAAAGACACAACGATAATCGAGCAAAAGTTCATAATTATCCCTGAGGTATAACACCGCCTGATTATCTTACCTCATTCAACAAGTCCATAGCAGGATTTTTGGTGTCTCGGACACAAGACCAGAAAGCTTGTAACCATAGAGTTGGTTCTTGATGACCAAATCTTCTGCAACAAGCTAATACCGAGTTGGTATCGTTCTTCGAAATGTGATATCTGAAAATAACAAAAGTATTTCTTAAGTCAGTTGGAGCGGCTCCGTCAAGGAATGTCCGCCATGTGCACCCTATCCTTTTGGACTTCAGAAGAAATGGCTGCGCGCGGAAATTTGAATATTTTCTTATTTAAAATATTCAAGGTCAATATACTATAGAAGGTTGAGTAATTTACGATTGAGAACATCAAGTAAATTTCCAACAAATTTCATAACGACTGGGCAAGTGGACTGATGAATCATTGGCATTCAGTTATTGCACTGTGTTGTTAGGAACCTAAATTTGTTTTTGCAACACTTCTCTCGCTTTTTTTATGTAAGTCTATGCGTTGTTCGAACGAACGAACCTTCATGACCGCCATTTTAGACTGTTGGCCCGCGACACAGGGTTTGTCGATGTTCTAAGTCGGTATGCCATTTAAGGGACCCACTCACTTAGTCCAAGTTAACAGGAAGGAGTGCCTCGGAGAGTCGCAACCCAGTCCTTGCCCCTGGCCTGACCTCACCTTTCGGTTGAAAAAAAGTTCAAAATTTTGTTCAAGAAGAAGCTTGGCAATGAAGTGCAATGATCTTATCTCACGAAAAGTGGGGCGATTATTTGAAAGATGTCTAGTCAATTGATGTTCGAATAAGTCGAGCTCCCCTCTCCGAAATCGTATGCAAATGTCGGGAAACAGATTAATGAGTCCGAATTCATTGTTTCGCCAAAGGGCATACATTCTTAGATCATCGACTGTAAGACTGAAAAATTGCCACTTCCGGTTCGTATGCCGTTGGGGAGTGACCTAGGCGTATGCAAACCGGCAAGAAGACTAAGTCATCTCCACAAATGTATTAACTGAATAATCAGTGTCCCAGTGTTGGGATCCTCCATAAAGCCCCCTTTGGGTCATGGGCAATTTGCCCTTCATTATTTATTTGTAATAATGTAAATTGTACCATTTATTATTGTTGCCTTCTCTTTTTTCACTTCCACAAATTGTCATTCAAAATATGCTTCTGCTGATGATGGACTATTTATAGTCCGAAACATGTTCAGACACTGATTATTCAGTTAATAAATTTGTGGAGATGACTTAGTGTGTCTTGTTTATGAATCTATTCACTCCACTTCGAGATACCATGGACTTTTACCATAAATCATGATATTATTGTTCAATCTTGACTTTTTCGAACAACCAGCATGTCCAAATATTTCTTAGTCTCCATAACAAAATATCATGTAAATGTTGAAGACTTGGCAAAATGTGCTGAATGCTGAGAACTGACAAGACAACGCCCACAAGTCGTGCGCCGGGTTGTCACGTTCACCGATTAAAATCTCTTCTAGTGTGAATTAATAATATAATATTATGAGCAATAAGCCACAAAGCATAAGGGAACATTTTGGGATAATTGAATCTTTATTGCTAATTAGGAATATTACCGATACTCAATTGAGAATTCATGGATTATTGAATGACTAATATTTCTGAAGTTCCTAATCGTATTTCAACACATGGCAACTGTGCTATGGTCTGCTTCTACTTACGAAATCGTGGCGTCAGTTTTTACTGGCGGTAAATTTCTAGCCGTTTGATAATTACCGTGGCATTATTGAAGATTTTAGCACCTAAAAATCGACCGAAAAATCCTTAAAAAATATGGAATCGAAAAGTATTTGAGTGATATGAACAATTTGAGAAATTCAAAAAATTAGTCTACCCGCCTATTGAGAACCAACTTACTGGAGATATCACTGGACTGATATACGAGTAAACCGATGTTTTTAGAGAAACCAGATACCAATAAACAACCATTCGCAAAAATACCATCGCTCTATATAGCATAGCATAGAAGTTGATGGCCCGAAAGGGTCTTTAGCCAGCTGTATAATCACCGACATAAAGTACTACCTAGACCGCTAATGCCATAAGAAAGAAGGTAACCAACTCACGAGATCGAATTGGAGAACATGTATCATGCGCATTTAGGACCTGTTATATTATCTTATTCACTCTTACTCATGTTTTCCAGCAACAAGAAACATTACTAGCTGTCATGAACGACAGTTTTAAGATTCCTGCGCATTGAGCAATCTACCCGAGATTTTCTGGTTCCTGAGACACAGCGGTCTAGATGGTATTTATGTCAGTGGTATCAATAAGCACCTCCCGGTGGTTAAGTGTCCAAAACTGGGTGGTGTCTGCGGATATAGTGAGTAGAAACCTCCCCTCGGATGAATTAGAAGCTGTTTTTGTTTCCGATTTTCTTCTATTCTCATGGAAATTTCCAATGAATGTCAGTGTTGGTATTCTTACTTAACTGGGTAAACCTGGAATTCCCATTAAAACGGCACAGGGAAACGGGACTCCGATTTAGGGATACCAAGCATTCGCTCTTTTTGTCTTACACCACCCGGCTCTGGATTCCTCCAGAGTTTGATATATACAGTAGATCAGGGGTGCCCATACTTTTTCTTGGGGAGATCGACCTAGTAAAAATATTTGACTAGGAGATCGACATTTAAACCATACATCCCACCAACTAAAACCAAAATATAATTACACCATCATTTCAGCCTTTTGAACGTCCACTGCTAGACATAAAGGCCTCTTTCAATGATTTACGCGACGAACGGTCTGCGTTTTTTGCATTCATCGAAGGCGCGCGATCCTGCAGATCGTCGGTTCATCGTAAAGGAGAAATAGTTATCAAAAAAGAATTAGAAGTAAAACTGCATTAGTGATGTTTATTGCATTTTTAATCATCCAACACTACAAAAATGATAAAATATTACTGATGAGTGATAAAAAAGAAAAAATATTTCAACGCTGATGTCGAAGCATGACATTGGTGGTCCTCCGCGAAATTTTCATAATTTGGGATGTTTTCTAAACGCAAACAGGTTGTGAGGTGGTCATTTGTTAGACGTGTGCGATATGTTGATGTAAAGAAAGCAGTTATTCAGGGCAATTTGTTTTATCAATGGATATTTTATTTCGGATATCAGTAAGAATAAGAATCACTGTTGCCGGCTTTTAAATTTATATCCGAAATGAGCTTCAACATTTCATCCTCAAGAGCAGTACATTCCATATTAAAATAGTCGCTACAGGTAAAAGAGATTTCATGAACATTTGTGCAGGTAAATGGGTAAGACAGAAATGATGGAATATTATTCATTTTATTAATATCTTCAAAGCGTCTTTCAAATTCGCTCAGAATTTTGGTCACTTTGTTTTCATATGACACGAAACTTTCAGAGTTTTCATGCAATAGCGGGGTTGGAAAGTTCCTGCAGTCTTTGTCTTCAATTTCTTCCTCCAATTGTTTCAGCCTACGCTTGAAAGCAATTATGGAGGACATCATGTCCACAATATTTTTGTCTTTTCCTTGCAACTCCAGGTTTATATCGTTCAGGTGCTTTGTAATATCGACTAAAAAAACCACCGTACCGAAGGGATGATACACAGGTACAGTCTTCATAATTCTTCATAATTCTTTGACCTGTTTTGTTAATTTTTCCTCGGCGATCGACTTCGAAAGCCTTCGCGATCGACCGGTCGATCGCGATCGACCGTATGGGCACCCCTGCAGTAGATGGTCTTCTATGAATAGCCACTTATACAATTATTGTCTGTCTCCCGATTTTTGCTATGTAATGATATGATTATGAATAAACTTTGAAGCATTGGCTTGTAAACTCAAGAAATGAGTGTTTGAATCCCGCAGTAAATACTTTTCCACTGGACAACATTTTTTCAATAGTCATGCTGAAGAATCCAATGATGGAGCTCGGTAGCCCACAATGTTCATCAGCGGACTGATTTAGGCTCCAATGATATTTTTTCAGGTCGCAAAGACAACAGAATCATTCTGAAGCACTGAAGGTGCCTTATTTTGTTTCCTGCCTTACTTTGGGAAGTATGAACATAAGTTTCTAGGTGCTAGAAAAAGACCCCCATAAACTTAGCAGAACCACTTCAATATTTCGGATTTGCAATAGTACTATAATTTGTTACTAATTTAGTACTAATTTATTATCATATTCGCGAATTTATTACTCTTCATTAAACAGAAAAAACCAACGGTTCTGCTAGCTTTATGTCAACCTAGCAGAACCATAGCTGAAAATTTAATATTTTGAAAATTTTTAATAAACCATAATTTATAACTATTTTATTACTAACTTATAACTATAATCACGAATTTTTTACTCATCATTTCAAGGAAAAAAACGAAGATTTGTCTATCTCGATCTCAACCTAGCAGAACCAAAACTCAAATCACATGTTTTTTGAAATTCTGTTGTATCATCGATAAGTTACTAATTTATTACTAATTTATTACCACTTTCGCAAATTTCTAACACTTCATTCAACAGGGAAAACCAACGGCTCTGCTAGCTTGCTGTCAACCTAGCAGAGCCATAGCTAAACAATTATTATTTTGAAAACTTCAAATATACCATAATTTATTACTATTTTATTACTAACTTATAACTATAATCACGAATTTTTACTAATCATTTCATGAAAAAAAAAACACCTATATGTCTTAACAGAACCAAAACTCAAATCACATGTTTTTCGAAATTCTGTTGAATCGTCAAGTAATTAAATCATTACAAAATTACCATATTCGCAAATTTCTTTAGTAATAAAATAGTAATAAATTATGGTGTATTTGAAGTTTTCAAAATAATAATTGTTTAGCTATGGCCGAGGCTACGGCTCTGCTAGGTTGACAGAAAGCTAGCAGAGCCGTTGGTTTTCCTTGTTAAATGAAGTGTTAAAAATTTGCGAATGTGGTAATAAATCAGTAATAAATTAGTAACTTATCGATGATACAACAGAATTTCAGAAAACATGTGATTTGAGTTTTGGTTCTGCTAGGGTTGAGATTGAGATAGTCAAATCGTCGTTTTTTTTTCTTGAAATGATGAGTAAAAATTAGTTCATTTTACTTGATTCTTTGGGATTTTCTGATAGAAAAATTTGTTAAACGCAGTGCAATTTTG